ATGCACGCGACACGACAGGTCACGTTCAAGGAGGCGGACGCGGCCAAGAAGGCGTGCGAGGACGCCACCCCCGTCATCAACGGCCGCCGCGCCAACTGCAACCTCGCCTCCCTCGGCGCCAAGCCGCGGCCCCAGCCGCCGCACATCCTCCGCCCCGGGCCCTCGCCGCCGGCCACCCCGGCGCCGCACGCGCCCGCGCTCCCCTCTCCACACCAGGCCACGCCAGGTACATACTCTAACTAGTACGGTGGCTACGGGCACCCGCGGCCAGCCTCTCTCACGTCAACTGCTCTTATTTCCTGACAAGAGATCACATGTTTCTGGCGCGAATTCACTTGCAGCCATCGCGGTGGGATCCAGGGGCGTGTCGCCGGTGCCATGGTACTACCACCCCTCCACGACGCCCCCTCCGCCGCAGCCGCCGGCCGCGCACTACGCCCACGGCGGGCACCAGCAGTACCACGGCGTGCTCCCATTCTACCCCGCCGCCACCACCTACGGGTAAGTACGCGCGCTCCCAGCTCCAAATTCCAATTCCCCGCGCGCGTCAATGGTTCGCTAGCAAGAAGAAGAAAAAAAAAGTCATGGCGCCGTTACGATCTGGCGTGCGCGCACCTCGAGCGCCGCCAACACGTCCTGCGAGGCTACGAGGATTTCGTGTCCGGCCACCCGCGCCCAGGCATCCTCTGCTCGTTGCGGGGCTTGCGGCGGGCGGGGACCGGTCGAGTGGGCTGTGGGCGCGCGCACACATGCGTGGCAGGGGCCAGCGGCCAGCGGCTTTTGGTTTGGAGCAGCGAGCACGCGACGGGACAGGCGGGGGCACCGGCGCAGGCACAGCCACGCACAGGCTGGACCTGGACCGGACCGCGCTGCCTCGTCGTGCTCGCACGTGCCCACGTGCCGGCCTGCACTGCGGCAGAAAAAAAAGGGGAATGTGCTAGACCCTGTTCGTTTAGGCTCAAATTTGATTTATGCTCATATTTATGCTAAAATATTGTAAGAAAAAAAACTATTTTATAGCTGAAAAGTAAAGGAATCGGGAGCTCATTACCCTAGTTATAAACACTTAAAACTACACGGCTGATCTGTCTATCGGGTTATATACTGTGTGCCAGCCATTGTACGGGGTCACCACCACCACCACTCGTACTGATCGATCGATTTGTGCTGTTCTGTCTCAGGTACTCCCCGAATTACGTCGCGGACCTGAGCTACAATGCTGTAAGACACTGGATTTCTCGTCTTACTGCCAGATTGGGGGCAAAGTGCTTGCTAATCATGGTGTTATTTCGGTGCAGAAGGTAGGCCAAGCAGCAGCTGCCGGCACGGCCGGGTCGTACCTACAGGGGCACTTCGCGTACCCGGCGGCAGCGCAGGGCGGCATGGTGGCGGCGCCGCCCAACGGCATGATGCCGGTGTACCCGTTCTACCACTACCAGTACCACCACGCCTCGCAGGGTCTGGGCGTCCCCGCCGCGCACTTCTTCCCCACGGTCTCCGCCGCCGCCGTCACCACCGTCCCGGCCATCGTCTCCAAGCCCACCGTCATGGCCGCCGCTCCCCCAAAGGTAAACATATCACACCACCCAAATGTATCCAAACCCACCGTAGCAACAACACGTCGTCGCATGTGCAGCCGACGCGGCATCACCCGTGCAGAGCTGAGAGCATCGCATGTGCTCGCTCGGTGCCATGGCATTTCTGGCCGTGCCAAGTTGGCATGGCAGGTACACGCGACTAAGCATTGAGATCCCGTCCAGCTAATGACCCTTTTGTACTGTGTACCGCAGTGGAGCAGGTGACGGGTTGCAGCTGAAGGCACGAGGCGATGATGATGGTGATGGCGACGACGAGCGGGCGGCGCAATGAAAGGAGGAGGCCAAAGGCGCTCTCTGCTCTGGTTTTTAACAAGCTGCACATGAAGGGTGTCGTCCGTCTGTCGGGTCGGGGGGCCGAAGCAAAGCAATGCAAGGCCGCATTACATTCGTTCAATTCCCTCTAACTTCGTGCGCCCGTGGGGGGGCACGACCACCACCGTACCGGCAAGAACAGTCTTCTGTAACAAATGATTCGATTCGTCTCTCGTTTACCACCGTCTTTTTCCAATGGTAAACCCGTTATCAGTCAGTGTCTGTAGTAGTCCGATCGCTGCAGGGGACAGCGGATCTCAATAAATCGTCATAATATTTCGCCCTTCATCTCTGAGCTGTGCGTCCATGTGTGCGTGAGCAGAATGCCTTCAGAATGGTTCGCCATCGCGTCGCTGAGCTGAGCACCCTGCCGATTCTTCAGCTCGTACCTCTAGCCTCTGCACAAAGTAGACATCGATTTTGTACATGTTCGCTTGAACTTATCAGCATAACATATTATCCATGTTTTCCCCCATAATAAATTAATTTCAGCTGGCTTATCAGCCGCAGAAACCATCGGTTGTTTTCCAACGGTGAAACTACAGGCTGCAGACAGCTAGAGTGGCCAGAAACGGCAGAATCTTCCCTTCAACGCTGGAGTGCCAATTGTCAGCCTTTGCACACTGTAGCTACAGCAGTACGATTGACAGATTCTGTAAAAGTAAAATTACAGAGCGCAACCTAGGAAGGAGAAAGACTGCGTATGAATGAAGCTCAGAACGACCGGAAAATGACGAGTTTCCTCTTTCATTTCCTTCAACTGCTTGAACAATTTTCACACCAATACATAAGCCGAGACCGTGCATTATCAGAAAAAACAAGAAACGCAAATACATGAGGAACTCGTTGCATGGCTTCCCATGGAACAAAAATTGTATTTCCAAATATGGTACAGTTGGTAGTGTTCGCACTGGAAACGCTCTTATCATGCAATAACGATACTCACACAGGAGAAGAAACATTTGGCGAATCTTTGCTGCAAGGAGCTTATGAAGCTAGCATCAAGACCAGAAAGGATTTTGAGCAGCTAGAAGTGGAGAATCCAGTGAAGGCATGGTTGTTTAAGCAATCGAACAGATGGATTGGACGGAGGGACCAGAGCTCAAAATGGAGATGCTGGGTTCAGGAAAAAGACTGGGAGGAAGCAATGAAGTCCGGCCTGTGACTTGATCTTAGGTTATGCGGGTGGAAGGTTTCTGAGTAATCTGTTAGGGCTCCTTGTTTCATTCTTGAGAATGCAATTGGTTGAATGCTCTTTGTTGCTGGTGTCTGGATAATATAAGCGGTACAGTCTTGTTTTTCAACAACAGAGGATACTCACCGTCAACAGCTGCACAGTTGGATGCAAATTTGAACCAACAAACCAGGGTCACATACTGGGCACCACCAACTCAACATTATGGGGCCTGGACGAGTTTCCAAAGGTGTTCACTTTGGATTCATGGGTCTGCGTGGATGACATCCAAGATTTGCCATGCCAAAGTTGAGAAAAAATATTGCCATAGATTTGGCAAGCCAAATGTAAGGCTTTGACAAGTTTGGTTAGCAAACTAAATACTAGCCAAAATCATGGCTTACCAAATCATTGGCATTGGCAAGTTTTGGTGTCTTCTGTTTGGTTCGAGTGGACGAAATTGGCACGTTGCAAATTGCGAGAATCATTCAATCCTGCATACGTTGCGTGTGGACTCTTTGGAGATGGAATTATAGCCTTGCATCGGTTGTGGGCTGATTTCTTTTTTTTTTCTGGGAGGGAAATGGGCCAGTTGCTAAGAGGCCGATGCCCCTTCAATTGGGTCTGGACGAGGGACGAACGAACTGATCCCATCATATTCGCTCTCTGCCTCAACCGGCGAATCCCACCATTCCCAGAAAAAAAGGGTTAATTACAAATTCTGCGTTTCTGAAAAATACCATTACTGCTCGTCTATTTGGAAAGATGCCATTATAATTCGTTGTCTACTTGAACCATGCCATTTTATACACTCGGGACGAAGTTGGGTCCACCTGCAGGTCACCATATTCTAGTATTGCCCAAAGTAACCCTTTCTTCATCCTCTCTTCTCTTGTGACAGTGGGCCCCACCCGTCAGATCCATCTTTTTCCTCTCTGTTCTCTCCCGCGCACACTCTGCCCATGGCTTGCTCGCCGGCGTGGGCTCGGAGTTGAGCTAGGGGCCACGGGATACGCTGGGGAGAGATGCAAACGGAGAAGGAGCTCACCACGATGCCGATGGTGGGCTTCTTGTAGTCGAATGCTGACCAGAGAGGGAGGGAGCCGAGGCGAGGCGGACGGCAACTCCGGCGAGCTCGCGGCGAAGGTGTTGCTGGCGTGGGTTGATGCGAAGGAGCGGTTTCACGGACTCGTAGTGCCTCTGCGAACTCGACGGAGGAGGAAATGAGGTCGGAGGCGGTCGGAGCGCGGAGAACAGCGAGCTCAAACCGAGCTCGGCAATGGCGGCTGTGCTGGCGAAAATGGGTGCTGGAGAGTGGGGAAGGGTTCGGGTAGTGGTGGAGGCGGTGGGCGCGTGCTCATGGTCTTGAGGCCCAGCTTATATAGGGCGAGAGGGGAGCGAAGAGGAGCCGATCGTCATGCGAGCTCAGAGGCATCTGCCCATGGCGAGCTGCGATTAATGCGCACCCGAGGTGTCTGGATGATGATGCTGCACCCCTTCTGAGGGTAGGCGGGGGGCCTTGGAAGGAAGGGAGGGCTGGTCCTCATGGCCGAAGCGCTTGGTCGCGGCAGGAGCAGGAGGAGATGGGTTCCGCCATGGCCATGCCATGGGAGAAAGAGGAAGAAGATGGATCTGACGGGTGGGGCCCACTATCAGCGGAGAAAGAGAGGAACAAGAAAGGGTTACTTTGGGCAATACTAGAATATGGTGACCTGCAGGTGGACCCAACTTCACCCCGAGTGTATAAAATAACATGGTTCAAGTAGATGACAAATTATAATGACATTTTTTCAAATAGTAATGGTATTTTCCAGAAACACAGAATTTGTAATGGCATGAGTCCAATTAACCTAAAAAAAAAATCCCCAATCCTCAGCCTCGCATCGTCTCGCTCCGCCGACCGCTGCCTCCACGCCATGGCGGCGCCGCCGGAGCTGGTTGACGACGTCATCCCCGAGATCCTCCTTCGCCTGCCGCCGGACGAGCCCAAATGGCTCTTCCGCGCGGCCCTCGCCTGCAAGCCTTGGCTCCGCACCATCTCCGACCCCACCTTCCTCCACCGCTACCGCGCCTTCCACGGAGCCCCTCCCCTCCTCGGGCTCATCGACAGGGAACCACTAATCGACCGGGTTCTCCGCTTCGTCGCCACCACAGCAGTGCCCGCCTTCTCCTTCCTCATTCCCACCATCTCTGCGTGGCCCACCTTCTCTGCGTTACTTTGTCTGTGACCCCGTTACGGGCGACCGCCATCGCGTGCCTCGCCCGGATGTCGGAACCCAGTGGATGGTCTACGCCGCCGCCGCGATTTTCTGCGCTGTCACCGGCTGCCAACACCTTGACTGCCACGGCGGTCCCTTCTATGTGGTCTTCATGTTCCGCAACTGGCTATTAGCTCGTACTACCATGTCAGCGACCATTTACTCATCGGAGATGGGCGCGTGGAGCGTGCCAGACACACTGGAAGGCATTCATGATAATAAAGCCTACGGGCGTGGTGCACTTATCGGAGATGAAATCTACTTCATGCTTTCAGGGGATGCTGGAATTACCAAGTATGACTGGAGGAAGAATTGCTTGTCTGTGGTTAATCGTCCACCATCGGCTGCGTTCAGCGGTGGGGTTACCCTCATGGTGATGGAGGACTGTTCTCTTGGGTTCGCTGGCATTGAGCATACCCGTATTTATCTGTGGTCCAGAAGGGTGAGTTCAAAGAAATATGCTCTGTGGTCCAGAAGGGTGAGTTCAGTGAAAAATGCAGAATGGGTACAGTGCAGGGTCATTGATCTGGAGAAAATGATGCCTATGGCTCTGTGTTCGCTGGTTGGTGCTGGTGCTGGTTTGGGCTGACTGGTGCTGGTTTTTTGTGAGAGGAAAACACTGTTGGCTGGTTGAATAAGCCTGGCTGAAACCAACAAGCAAACAGAGTGAGAGCACAAGTGGTTGGCTTCGCAGAGGGTGTGGGTGTCATCTTCATTACCACAGGTGTTGGATTATTCATGATGGAGCTCAAATCAGGGAGAGTGAAAAAGATTGGCAAGCCTAGGCGTAACATAAGCATTCTGCCCTACATGAGTTTCTACACTCCTGGTATTGTAATAGCACTTGTTTATATTTTTGCTTTTTTTATCTTTATTTGCAGCTTCCATATGTTAGCTTAGGTAGTTAGTTATGGCTTCAGAATGAACTACTAGTTGCAATGAAAACACACTTTGTGGCAACTTGGATGTATTAGAGCAAACAGAATACATGGCATTGAAAAGGCAAACCTAATCTTGGTTCTTTAGTCTGGCTTATTAAAGACCATGTCATTGTATTGGTGTACTCTTACAAATCTGTTGATCTAGTATTGCCATGCTACCTTGTTTCAGATTTTCTAAAAAGAAAAAATGTTGTTAATTTCTTGCAAATAGAAGCCGTACTTTTTCAGCGAAGAAGCAGTGTTTTTCTCTCACAACAAATCAGCGAACAGTTTAAGTACGAAGGTTGCACAAGTCATTATGATCACTTGCGGTTATTGTGGAAGCTGCCCTGATCATATAGACGAAAATAGTATATCAGTGTGATATGATATGCATATTTCATTTACTGTCTGCTTAATTGGCAATTCAGCTACTTAAAACTAAAAGTCTGTGTACTTTATGTCATTGTCGTTTCATGAGAATCAATGTGAGATTCAGAGTTTATGAAGATAGCATCAAGACCAGAAAGGATTTTGAGCAGCTAGAAGTGGAGAATCCAGTAAGGCATGGTTGTTTAAGCAAGCAGTCGACCAGATGGAGGGAGGGACCAGAGCTCAAAATGGAGGAGGAGATGCTGGGTTCAGGAAAAAGACTGGGAGGAAGCAATGAAGTCCGGCCTCTGACTTGATCTTAGGCAATGCGGGTGGAAGGTTTCTGAGTAATCTGTTAGGGCTCCTTGTTTCGTTCTTGAGAATGTAATCGGTTGAATGCTCTTTGTTGCTGGTCTGGATGATATAAGCGGTACAGTCTTGTTTTTCTACGACAGAGGATACTTACCATCAACGGCTGCACAGTTGGATGCAAATTTGAACCAACAATATAGACATCATATTGGCAGCCATTTGATGAGGCAACATAGCTGTCGCCAAAAGCCAGCTAATCGAGCTTACATTCAGTGTCACAATATATTAATTTGGTCCTGGAATCTCGATCAATGTCTTGGTACAGGTGGTCTTCAGAACAAAAAAGAAAATGGATGTTACAATAGCAGATGAACAGAAGAGGCAATTTCCCAAGATCTAAACGTATTAACCAATGCTGGCAGTGTGAGCCACAGTTCTCTAACACAAAAAAATATATTCTATCCATCAACGCCATTAAACAAAATGCCTCCCACATGCCAAGGTAATACTACAGGTATTATTGGACTTGCCAAGGTAATACTACAGGTATTATTGGACTTCTATCCTCGATGTCCAATTGCTGAGGCAGTATGGCTTAGGATTTGTTGTGATCGCCACCGAAGTAATTTCTCATCATATATTAGCTCTAGGCGCTGACAGGACAAATAAATGATTTGCCATATTTACTGTCTTCTAGGGTGTTCATGGCTTGTTGCTGCGCTTTTTGGATTCGCTGTAAAGAATAACGCCAATAACCGTGAGAGTGTAACCGAGCATTCCTGTTATGGACACAGGATTCCTGAATATCATGATCGAGACGACAACTGCCACAGCACCCTTTGCATTTCCGAGAACCTGGAGAGACATGGATGTCAATAATTGAAAGATTTAAGCATAATTCTTAAAACAAGACAAGGTATGGTAAGATGGCAAACAAACGACTATCATGGCAAGTGGTCAATAAACCAAGATAGGGCAATCTCATGATTATGCATCTAAAAGAGAAAGATGAGTAGAAAGCTTTACTCTTAAGACAGCAAGGTATATATGTTACTTTTTCCAAACCCGTAGGACAGTAAAGTAAATATGTTACTTTTTTCAAACCGGTTACAGAAAAATTTACATTCAACTCTGACATGCCTCTGATCGATAAAATTTCCAATTTCAATAAAAAACATCAAAGGTGTTTCCTATTAGTGCAGCAAATCTATACTTTAGTCAATCACAGACCCCATTTGTGTATGATTAAAATTAAAAGTCACTGTTACGTACTTCAAAGTTCAAACCATACACTTGTACAGGACAAGAGCAGCGCGTTTCTAGCTCAGCAAAAACAGCAAAACACAGTGGGTTAAAAAGGTTGAATATTAGTGGACACTTGGAGTGAAGTAGTAGATCTTAAGAGTTAATACCATTATCCAACCCATCTTAAATATAGTGCACATAATACAAAAAACAAGAAAAGCCAAGTGTCAAACTACATCATGCACACAAAACTGAACTGATGGGTCAGAAAGCATTTGGTACCTGTAGAGTCAATGCGCTAGTATGCTTTGTCACCAAGAAATTGGTCAAATTGACAAAATATGCCAAGCAAGAATTGAACAATAGCAACCAAACAATCGTGAAATCCTTCTTTGCAAGCTGAATTGTAATGCCGACAACATTATCCTCCATAAAGATAGTTGCAGGAAGCAAGAAAATAACAGCAATTGGAGCCATGTACAATAACAGATTCATAGAATTAAGCTTCTCCCTGCAAGGCATCAGAACAGAGAAACACTCAGCATCCACACAAATGCAAAGTAGTAAATCAATCCAAGGCAATGTGCCAATGTGTACAGAATAGTGAATACATATAAAAGGGAAGACAAAGTTACCCCTCAGAAGACAGAAGAATTCCTTGCAATACTGTCTTCAACGCCCTTGCTGCAGTTGCTCCTATGCACATGATGAAGCCAAACAGATGAAAGCTAGGCTCGCCCTGTAAGTTCGATTTGCAAGCTCCATATCAGTTAGTATTAGAAACTTAAGAGGTCCAACAACAGCTTTAGTCAGTAGGCATTCAAAGCTCCTATGCACTTGACTGACATTAGGGATATATACTAGTTGATGTGAAACAGATACCTTCTAAAGATTCCTCATAGCAGCCATGAATAGCAACAACTTGTTAGGTGAGATGCTACACGTTAACATAAGATTCCCACATCCCACTATTATTGGTAAACGCCTCAAGTGGTCATTGGACTCTTTGCAAGCCTAGTATGTCTTATATTGCACAAAAGAGCTATAACACAGTGCTCTGTTTATTATGTATAATGCAAGAGAATCAACTTATTAATGGCACAATTAACGGCCCCATGCATGTTCAAGGAATGTATAGAAAATCAATCATGTCGGTTCCAAAAGGTAAGCCAATACTTTGATATTAAAGAATGGATATTTTACTATTCAATTTCAAAATATGGATTACTTCCCAGAAAACAATTTTGAAATTTTGACTTGCAAATCCACAGTTTCCAGACAAGGTTTTTGCAGAGAAAGATAGCTATCGCTGTAAAAGTATTGGTTAGCTAGCTGGATCCTGCGATGAAGTTTGGTTAACTAGCTGATCACATAGATAGTGAGAAGCTGTTATGCCAGTTGATCACTTGGCCCTATTAGATAGCCGACGTCTGAGGTGACATCTATAGGCAGCGTGACACGCCGTGAATGGTTTCCATCGGATAATCCCAAAATTCCATTCCCAATGAAGGGATGGGCATCCAATGAAGTGAGGGGCCAGATGCCTGCCAGCCATTTTTAGTCCAATTACAGCTAGATGACAGATCCACCTGTTGTCTTCAGCTCCATCCCAAGTCCAATTACAGCTAGATGACAGATCCACCTGTTGTCTTCAGCTCCATCCCACTCCTCCCGAGTTCCGAGCTAGCCAAACCCGGATTCCGCTCAGATCCAATCCCGACTCCAACAGATCTACTGAGAAAACAGAGACGGAGGCGGAGCACAGGGCAGTAACTTACGCCGCTGGCGATGATGACTCCAGTGACGACGGGCACGAGGGTGAGGTAGGTGACCCACGACTCGCGCTTGACGGTCATGATGTAGGCGAAGACGGCGGTGAAGAAGGGCGTGGTGGCGCCGACCGCCTGGTTGAAGGAGACGGGGAGGTACCGGAGCGAGACGTTCCCGGAGACGACGGAGCCGCAGAAGACGAGGCTGAGCGCGGCGATCTTGGCGAGCTGGACGCGGGAGCGCACGAACTGCATGGGCACGACGCGCAGCCAGGCGATGGCGGCGTAGGAGAGCAGGGCGCAGGCGGACATGTGGCACATGGTGAGGAAGATTGGGTACTTGAAGCCGTAGTTGCTGAGGAGGTACTTGTTGAGCAGGAGCACGCCGATGTTGGAGGAGTACCAGGCGGTGACTAGCCCCACCGTGAAGAAGCGGCCGTTCCCCGCCGCGGGCCCACCCGCGCCGCCGGGGGACGGCGCGGCGCCGCCCTTGGCCGTCATGGCTCCTCGGTCGCCGCCGCCGCCGCCGCCGCCGCCGGCCGCACACGAACTCGCGCGCGCGCGGGCGCGCGGGGGAGATCTGGGGAGGAGGAGGAGGAGGTGGGAATGGGGTGCGGGCGGGCGGTGGGTTGGGTGGGTCGCGGTTGAATTGGTGGTGGCGGGTTTGGCTTTGGCTTTGGCACGGGACTGGAGGGAGAGGCGTCTGCGTGAGGCTGCGTTTATGGGAGCGGGGAGGAGACGCTCCTGTCGTGCCCGCCTGTCGGTGGAGACAAGACAACGGTGGGAGATGATCTTTTCCGCCTTCTCTTTCCGATGTGCTTTTTCGTTAATCCAGAGTTCCCGGTTGGTTTTCTGTTTCTTTTATTAATCATCATTTCATAATTTCATTCATATTCACCGGGGGCTCGGGCATTTAGCTGTTTCTTTTCTTTCAGACTGGCAATGCAACCATACCATTATCTATGGATTGAGCTAGCCAGTCACCGTATAGATAACGGTGTGGATATAAATTCTTTCGGATTGTACCTTATATAGATGGGCTAGAATTTTATTTCCAATCTATGCATGAATTTGTCAACCTTATAAATGGAGACTAAGATAAACGTCCTATAAGCCTGGAGCATATGTACCATGAATCATATTTCCTCGTCTCTTTCTTCTACTACTATATGTAAGATCACTTCAAATTTGTGTGTCGAAGCTTGCTTTTGGCAAAAAAAAAAAAAAAAAAATAGTCGCCACCGATACTAGGATAAGTACAAGCATCTAAATTTAATACCAGTAGCCTCCTTAGCGATCATTATTCCTAACTAACTGCTACGGGTGCGTTTGGTCAGAACTCAGAAGTTTGGCAAGGAGGCTCAAATTGGCAACGATACGGAATTTCGTTCGGCAGCCGAGCATGACAGCACCGGCTCACAAACCCAACACAACTCTCCGCACCCCGCTGATCGGGTCTTGTTTGCACAAATTACGCTTTGCTCAGTACTATACCAACCTGCCTAATTCGTGGACCCTGCCGACTCGGTCACCCGGTTCGGTGACACGGATACGGTCGCCTCTTCCCGCACGAGCAGAGCAACGCGCCAAATTGTCCCGACCCGACCCCACGGCAAGGTGACGGTGCGCCGTGTCGCGTCGCTCGTGGTTTCCGCGTGCCAGCCATCTGTGGAGGGAGGAAAGCCAGGAGGCCGGCACAGGAAGGTGCCTCGCCGGTCGCCGTACCTACACATCTCATGCGAGTTAACACTCAACAGTGACGTGCTGACGTGTCCGAGACTCCGAGGCCGTTCTGCCTGTTCCTATACTGTAGTGACCTGCGGTGATAGGCTGCCACATTCGTCGTTTCGATTTCCAACTGTACAGGAGGAGAAACACGAAGAAATTATCGGCCTATTTGTTTCAGCTAGGGCTTAGTAGCTAGCTAACAGTGTTTTTCTCCCACAACAAATCAACATCAGTCGGACTTATCAGTAGAGACCGACCAGCGAACCGAGCTCCATGGGTAAAGACCGGTCAGATTTCGGCATCATAAAAAGCGATGTATAAAAAGCTTTATAAGTGATGAGAAGAGGCCCAGGTGAGTACCGAGAGGAGGCATCTACCTAGTGCTCCCTGTTCCGGAGGAATGGGTTCTCTTCTTCCTACTCATCGCCTTTTCTGTGTGAAGTGGCCAAGTGGGGTCAGCTCCAGGCTCGGATGAACCTTCATCAATCAAAGCCAGCGAGAGGGAAAAGGCTAAATACGCTTTCATCTCACGATAATCAGCTGGGAAAGAGAGCACGAACTGCACGCAAACGGGAAGCCATCATGGGAGACCATTTCCTCACGAGATCCAACGAAACCAGGTCATCAGGCCACGTGTACCAGCCCGTGCTTGAACTGCAGAACCAAGCTTCAGATCTCTGCACGTTCTCTTTATCAGCCTGTTCGCTTGCTCGTAAACGATCGTAAATTTTCAGCCGAAAACAGTGTTTTTCTCTCACACCAAACCAGCCAGCAGTAAATAATCCACGATACGATACGGCCTCCCGAAAAAGGCTGTATATTCGGTGCTGTGCTGTGCTGATGCCTCGTGGGACCGGCCGACACTACAATACAGTCACTAGGAAACCGGTAAGTCCTGACATACGGAGTATGTTCTTTGACCTCCTGTAAAAATAATCAACCGCACATGGTACATCATGGGCAGGAGCATGACAATATACTAAGCGAGGAGCACATGTGGTATGCTCGAATGTTTCTTCCAGAAAAATGCCTCCGGAGGAATATTCTCCGCTCTGCACCAACACTAGATAATTACTACAGTACTAGTTACATTACATAAGTAGCAGCCGCTGAGCTGCAGTTAGCTAGACAGCTACTCGGCAGCTTGAACAACCGAATTTGACCTGGCACAAATTACGGCAATCAAAGAGCACCAAATTCCGTTTATTCAACAGAAAAATAATCGGCAGCTTGAACAACAGAATTTGACCTGGCACAAATCACGGCAATCAAGGAGCACCAAATTCCGTTTCATTAACAGAAAAAATATAAGGAGCACCAAATTATTTTCTTCTACACAAGGAAAGTTTGGCGAGGTTTGGCCACGTTGACCACCACCAGATGCATAGAGCGCGTCATGACACAGCAAATAAGATTTTTGAGGAACGTCCGAATGGAGATGGAAACATCAGTTCTTATTATACTGTCCTAAAAAAGACAAATGTTCTTAGACACTGTCCCATTATTCCACTGTAACTGTATTTTAACAACCTGCATGACACAGATACTCCAACATGAAAACATATAAACCTAATTTAAGTATTTCCGAATATTCAACCCTTTGGTCTCCCATTATTATCAAACAAAAAAAAACTTTGGTCTCCATAGTTTAAAGGTGCTTTTCAAGCTCCCACATAATAGGATATTGAAGAAGACTAGACTGCTATTTCAGGTATCCTCGTTGCATCGGAAGTCAGAAGAACCATCACCAGCAAAACATCAAATTTTCATCCAAGATAACAACCAATGTAAGCCTCAAATCCACCCTTCTTCTCTACAGCTCTAATGTAGATCCTTTTTCTCTGTAAAAGTTAGCATCAGCTTAATAGAGTTCCTTCACTTTTCAATCTGCTCAGGAAACCAACTCTAACCATTTCGCCCATTCCTGCTAATCCTGGATCAGAAGACATTTGAGAACTAATTAGATCCTTGAGAAAATAAATAAATAATGTACTAACTACTATTGGTTTAGTACAACTTTCCATATCCATAATTTTCTAGTACTTTATCCTACAAATACTAGTCATTCACTTTTTCTAGTTAGTTTCCTAATAGTTTAATAGAAGTTTTTATAGGATTCTTTCAGTAAACTCAAAATGACTATGTATAAGAAAGCAAAGATGGCAAGTCCTCTAAGATGTGAATTTGACTGTGGCAACTAAAAGTCGTCTGCACAACAATCCTCTTTTTATCGCTCACGCAGTCCATCCACAGCAACCAGGACCATCAAGTCAGCCCAGTTCGCTCAATATCAGCCCATGATGCCCTGCCTGCTCCTTTTTCATCCTCACATTGCTCGAGTCTCCATCCTTCAATTGCCAAGGTTTCGAGATCCACCGCTTGACTCCTGGATTCTTTTTCTCTATGCGATTCTTCTTCATTGGTTAGAACATTCGGTTTTATGCCTAGAACAACCCAATTTTTAACGTGGAATGATATTTTGTTGATTAGAACAATCCAATTTAATACCTAAAACAATTCATCTTTTACATGGAACAACTTTTTTTTTGGTTAGAACAATTTGATTTCATACCTGAAAGTCTGGAACAATTTTCTTTTCAATGTGTAACAATTTTATAGTTGTTCAGAAGAATTTGATTCTGGAACAGTTCTTTTCAATGTGGAACAATGTTTCGGTTGGTTAGAAGAATTGAATTCTATGTGGAACAATTCTCGCTTTCAATGTGGATTTTTTTTAACTGGTTAGAACAATTTGACCTTATACCAAAATTTTGCTATGGACCAAGGCACACAAGTCCACTGATGGCAGCGAGAAGGAAACTGGGGTGCAACGTTGTTGTGTTGCTAGTGTCAGTGGGGATGATAGGAAGGAACATGTGAAGTATGTTTGGCATGGGAGTTCAGTATTCAACTTCTACTCAACCCAAGCAAACTCAGGAAAAGATATGCACCCACAAATGTCTTCGAAGGTGCACCAAATCAAACTGTGCATTACATTTTATAACAGAATAAGCACATCACTCAAGTGAGTTGCCTAACTCCAACCGCATTTAAATAGTCTTATATAATGACATTTTGCCCATTTAAACTGAAAAGGAATGTTCTTCATTCCTGCACCATACCATATAGTAACAAAGCGCCAAAAGTAGACACTGATATTCATTACTCACCAGCATGTAATCTGCAGTACTTTCTATCTAAGGTTCATTCAAATCTGTAGGATAGCTTCCGAGGACTCTTAAAAAGGTTGCAAACTCCTGAAATAAAGCAACATGAGCACAGTTTACATTCACCAGATTGTACTAACAAAGAAAGAGCACCTTCAGATTTCCAAGAGCATTCTGGGTCTTTGGATCAGCCATTGATGCTTCAAGGTCAACGTAAAAGAGGTAATCAAAGTTCCTGATGCAATCCAGAATCGAATAGGTAAGGAAGATATAAACACTTGAACAGCAAAGTAATGCTCATATTAATGTAAAACTGCAGCAAGTGAAATTGAATAACTTAGAAGGCCACAGGTTTAGCATCTAACTTTAAGAGTGAGGAACAGTCTCGAAGAGGCCTTTCTTTGTGTGGACGACTTTCGATCTGCGCATCCATTCAAAAACAGAGCAAATATAGTGAATCATTTCTACACAATGCATGAAACTGACAAGACAAAGTAGTTGGGTAGACCTTTGTGATTTCCCTCATTGCGAATACAGCAAGCGCCTTGAAGAGCTGTCCAGGTCCTTCTTCTAGTGAAAAGACTATGCTTGTCTGAAAAATTGACCATACAACTGATCAGCTGCAGTAACGATGAGGACAAGGTGTGACAATGGAAAAGAGTTTGAACGATGAGGACAAGGTGTGACAATGGAAAAGAATTTGCACAAAGATGGGTACCTTAAATGGTTTATCAGTGCGAGGTATGATGGGTTCTCGAGCTAGCATCATAAAACGGGTGACATTATCTTTGTCATCCTAAAGAAATTGACAGGCTAATGTTCAGAACAAAGAACAGAACGTTTTATCTTATTTTACTATTTTAGCATGAACTCACTGTACCTGAATATTCTCAGCAAGAACATCCAATCCATAGAGTTTAGCAGCCACTGAACTAGCAATAGCACCAGTGTCCTGGAGCATATGTTCTGCAACAATCTAGGAAAGAAAAGTCATGCCATTGCTATGGTTAAAAACAGTGAGTTAACAAAATGGGTAACTGAAGTCACAATCTATCCAAAAATAACAAAAGACAAAGAGTTGCTAAAAGAGCGAAGAAAAAAAGATATCTGAATTAGAAGGTGAATGCTCTAGTTGAACAAAAAAGCTCAGTCTACCTTTGCTGCACCAGCAGTGTCATCAACAGCCTCTCTATGCTCAATTCCTAGTCCTGTTAATGTGTGCTCACATTGCGCAAGAGCCTATCAATTAAAAAAATGATATGGTTGTAAGATTACCTCCGACGAAAATAAACAGTAATGAGAGAAGTAAAGACAGATCAACCAAGCAGTTCACCTGGGGATGACTCATAGCACTTTTAAAGGTTTTCAATCTTCACGCCAGGACTGGCTAACAAGCAATGGCGAACCGCAAGGCAAACTTCTCCAACAATGTGCAAACTATGCCGAAGCAAAAGATCATAGTTCCGATGTATGCTACCTCCCAATGAATTCTCAAGTGGCAGTACTGCCCTATCAGCTACCCAGTTTTCAACAGCCTGTCAAAGAAGAACATGAGAAAAAAAAAATTGTCACATCGATTCGCTAACTAGAGAAGTGTGTTTTTAAGACAAAAAACATAAACCTCTCTGAAAAATAGTTTTAGAAGAGAAAGAAAAAATTGTTCTCTTCTATTAATGCAATGATACGAAGCTCACCTGTGTTTTTGAGAAAAAAAAAATATTACCCTACTGCTACCCGATAGGCGATAGCCAAAAAGAGGTGCTTCCCTTATAGTCAAAAAATATTCTAGGAAATTGACATGACAAGTAAATTAGCCTAATCTATCTCAATTCTCAAAGAACACAGCTACACAAGAGCAGATGCATGACATTTTGACATTTCTGCAAGTAAAATTAAATCCGTATGAACAATACCTCCCCACCCCCTCCCAAAAAAAACGGCATGAACAACATTCACTGGCTAGAACTTGTTTTTCCTAACAGAACACATTGTATGCATATTATGTGCTAGTGATTGATTATTTCTACAAATTAGTGTGTCAAACAGAAGGGCGGGTGTTAACACTGGATTTTGGTCAATTCTGGAAGATGACAGGTGGACCCACATGCAGGAAGAAGAGTGTTCGGCAAATAACGCAAGCGGTCGGCTAAATGCTTGTGCGGTCGGTTATTCTGGAAGGCGGTAACTCCATTCGGGAAAGCAGAAGATGGCAAGCAAAGCCGATCGAGAAGATGAAAGTTGTAATAATAAAGGACTCTGAGAGTTTGGGGCAAGGAATCGTAGTTTCCAAGTTTATTTAAAGAGTTCCTTTGTAAATCGTAGTCTTTTAGGACTCGTGTTTCGTCTAGGGTATAAATATTGACCCTCGACCATTGTAATAGGCGTTCACAACCAAATCAATACAACCGGCCCCGTGCCAACTTTCGAGTCCTTTTGTCGTGTCGTCGAGTTCTTCGAGAGGAGTCATCGATCCGTCGACCTCCGTAAGTTCCGACAACCTTGTTATCATGTTTAGTATCATGCGGTGGATTTAGACGTGATGCAAGTAGTCTTGTTTGTTTTCAATGATCGTGCGGCGGATCTTTGCTTGACAATCAAGAAGTCTTTGCTTATACTTTGTTTATGAGTAGATACCGTGCGGCAGGCGTTTGCTCAATATGCTTAGTGGAAGCAAGACAGTTATCGGCTCTATCAGATTACGGCAAAATCTAAATAGATTCATCAAGTTATCCTGTGTTGCATGTTTTAAATATTTTATATATTTGTAACACACTTTTGCCCAATCTAGATTGATATTGTTCGGCCCTCTTCTATGGTTTTATTCGAGCTTCAATGATCATTACTTTCATAATACCTTTGCAAATAGATAACATGCTCGTAATGGCTGAATTATTTTAATCTAGATTGTCACATGTTGTGGGTTCATGTATGTTAATCACGTTTAAGTTTTTGACGAAACTAGGTGTCGTGCGGCAGACGCAGGTTTTAGATTGGCTTAATCGTGTTTATCTACACGTTCCTTCTTCATGGACCCCAACTCGGCCGGATTCTTTGAGCTTGGATATGCATTAACGCATAATCAATTTCACTTGTTCAAACATGTCTTCCCATGCATATGCATTCGCAATCAGATCTTTACGTATGTCCACCCTACGATTAGTCGAATGATTTATAAACTTGTTGGCGCATGACTTCCTATAGTCGTATGTCGTTGTAAAATAACTTCGTGGCCGTATATATACTGAATCGTCTGTCTCACCCGACATGTTCCGGTTTGACATTTAACTATTTTATCCTTGTCGGTTTTTTTGAGTCAAAGCGACCGCACGTTCCGGATCACGAAGCACCCGGCACTCCGATTGAAGCTACGCTTTTCGGCTTCTTGTGTGTGTGCGCACACGGCGTCACATTTTGTGTCAATAAAGGCCTGGTGCAAGCGGTAGAGTCTTACCGCTGTGGACCGGAAGGTCCTGGGTTCGAAGTCATGGTCTTCTCGCATTGCACGAAGCAAGGGTAAGGCTTGCCATGACACCTTTCCCTGACCCCTTGCAGAGCGGGAGCTCACCAGACCGGTACGCCCCTTATTAGTGTGTCAAACAAAAGCAATATGGAGCCAGTCCAATTCAGTGTCGGTATTTCTCAACATATTTCATCAAACAAAACATTTAACCATTTGCAATTAGATATCCTTGCAAAATGGCAACATGAGTCAAGTAAAGTAACTATGGTGTGCTCAACAGGCGACACCCTGCTACCTGAAATGCAGTGTCAAAGTGCTCACAGGGCACAGTCTCACAATTCGGGTACGCCTTCTTTGCTGCCGCTTCTCTGTACGCCCCAGCGCAACCCTGAATTAAACACCATAACCAAACTCCCATAAAATTATCCGAAACACAACACAAGCACAGTCGTATAATAAGGAAACTGAAACAACACCCGTGAGACGTGTTTCGTCGAGCACCTACCTGGTAAGCAACCTCGAGCCCCTTCCCGTCCGCCTCCATGACGTCCGCGCTAGTGAGTGGCCCTTAACACAGGGAACAAAAACAGGCGCAGAGCACAGATTAGCAACAGGTGATCCGAAATTAGCTAACGCAAGGGCCGCCGCGAACGCGTGACTTACGAGGCAGCCAGTGGGGATCGCGGGCGCCGGGGACAGGGGGGGGGGGAGACAGGTGCGGGCGGGCGACGCAACCCGTTCACGTCCACAGACTCGACGCCGTCTGACGCCGTTAACCCAGGCGGCGATGCGGGAGAGATAGAGATGGAATTGGGGTTGGGGTTGTCACCGTCGATGGCGCTGCATTTGAGGGAAAGGCGGCGGGGTGGCGAGAACGGGGTGGCGTTGGCGTTGGCGTTGGCGGACCGGCTCGGGCGGGGAGGAAGGGGAGCCGGAGGCAGGCCGTGGGCGCCATTGCCGCCGCCGCGCTAAGGGTCTTAATCTTAGAGCAAGGTCAAAGTATATGGACCAACCGGTCCATACAGATGGGTCCCACGGCAGAGGTCTATAGTTAAGTTGGAGATCACAATGTATCTGGACCGGTTGTCCATAAGGCTAGGTCCCACAGCCAGTAAAATATCTCACACCCCCAACTTCCCCATCATTGTCTGACGGAGAAGTCCGGGCGATGCAACTCCGATCCCCTATCTCCGCCGCCTTCTCTCCGCCACCGATCTCCTTCCTCGCACTGAATCCGACCATGGCCTTCCCCTTCCACCTCAGATCTCCAACTTTCGTGCTCAGATTGGGCGTCAACCAACTCAGATCGGGCGTTTCTTGCAGGGGCACGGACGCCTGTAGGCGGCGACCTAGGGAGCCAGCGGACGGCCGACACGCAAACCTGGTGTCCTCGCGAACCACCGACCGCTCACCACATGTGAACGCAACAGGCACGGCGACTGGTGTGCACTGTGCACCGTCCAGCGGCACCATAGCGTGCACACCCGGCTCAGAGATCTCGCTAAACCTTCGGCGGGGGACGCTCGGCAGCGTGCACAGACTCCCAAGTCGGGCATCGCGGACGGCGGGGAGCAGGACTCACGGGGCACCGACCCGTTCCTCATCTCAAAGAAGCAGTATAATCATTTCCTACCTCCGATCCGTGCATAGTAATAGCAATTTGCTTTAGCTTTTATATAGTTGTAAAATGAGAGTTGGAGTTTGTAGCGTAACTAGCCTAACGAGGTTGAGTTCAGTAACCTCCGATCCGTGCATAGTACTACTTCTTTTTTTGCAAAGTATGAATGAACAATGAAATAAAAGTACAATTGCCTTATTTCAGATCTGAGTACAAATAAATTTAAGAAAACACACGATCCTAAAATTACATGGATGAGACTCTACTCTTGGTCGGGTTCATGTTTCATTGTGTCTTGAATTTTTGCCAAATGTGCTCTATCAAATCTTCCTTGAGACGAACGTGAGTTGATCGATTGCAATTTCATTGTCTTTGTCTAGTATATCTGTGAATCCATAGATTGGTCCATGTGCAAGCCCTAGGTTAAATTTGGAGAAGATTGCGCTTGCTCATATGTGTTATCATCTGGTATGTCATAGATGCCTCTCTCATCCTCTATTATCATGTTGTGCAATATAACACATGCATACATAATATTATTGCGAGTTCTTCCTGCTTCCCAAAGTCTTGTTGGGTGACGATGATAGCCCAACGCTTTTGCAACACCCCCTAAAGCTCGCTCCATAGCTTTTTTTCTCCTTCTTGATAGCTTGCAAACAATTTATGCTTAGGACTTAGTGGTTCGGTTAATTGTCTTGACAAATGTGGCCCATTCTAGATAGATGCCGTCAACTAGATAGTAACCCATGTTGTATTGTGACCCATTAACGATGTAATCTTGAACCTCGTGTGCTTTGCCTTGTAGTAGTTGTTTTGTGAATAACGGTGGTGGTCAAGCACATTAATGTCATTGTTCGAACCGAAGCTCCAAAGAATGCATACCAAATCCATAGGTCATAAGACGCGACAACCTCTAGCATTATCGTAGGTACCTTATAATCACCTCGAGTGAATTGCCCTTTCCAAGCAACAGGGCAATTCTGCCACTCCCAATGCATATAATCAAGACTACCCAACATCCTGTGGAAACCACGCATTTGATCTGCTACTTGCGATGGCGTTGGATGTCTTCACTAGTAGGTTTATGAGATATTGTGCAATCAATAGGCTTCTAATACCATGAACAAAATGAATCAAACACTCCATTGTTGTACTCTCGGCAACCCCAAATGTTTCATCCATAAGATCTGCTGGTGAACCATATGCCAACATTCTAATGGCAGCAGTACATTTCTGTAATGGTGATAGACCCACTTTGCTAAATGCATCTCGGCGTGAGAGACGAAATATGGAGACCAAACACCTAGAGCTTCAACTATGCGCATAAATAAATGCTTCCTCATGCGAAATCTTCTACTGGCTAATTATCTGTCGTGTACAAGGGAGTATCTGAAAAATATTTACCAACTAGTCTGCTGTGATCACCTTCATGATTTTTGTTGATGTACCTCCTTGTATAACCCCCACGTCGAATAGAGGACCTAGCTTATTCAGCTTCAATCTCCTGCTCAAGCTCAGCCTCAATCTGTGCTTTAAGCTCAGACTCAATAGAATCATCTGAGTCAGTTGACATTTTTTCTAGAGAATGAGGAAGTGGTGTCTTGTGTGAATCAAACAGTGGTTGTGGATTGGTGTCTAGTGAATGAGCGAGTGCAGTGTTGTGAACGAGGGAGTGGTGTGGTGGTCATATTTGTAGTCATTGTTGTCCACTTGTATGCAATACTATATTTTTTGTCTTTTTCTCAACAGACCATCTCGTTTCTACGGCATGACCTAAACAAATTATATTTTTGTTTGTCTTTTCTCAATGAATATATATTTTTGTTTGTCTTTTCTCAACAGCTATATTTTGCTTTTGTCCATACCTCAACAGTCATCTGTTGGTTTCATTAATAGTGGAGTACAACCATATTAAGCTTACAAATACACTGCCAGCACTAAGAAAAATAACAATTACACTAAATATTGGTGGTACAACCATGCTACCTAATACATAAAAACTAATTAACTTGAAAACAACAATTACACTAAATATTAGGGATACATGCATCTCTTGCTGCCTTTCTACCCCTCAGCCAAGTCTTTTGCTATCTGGTCCATTATGTTGTCATGCCTTTTTTTTCTTTTTCATTGAAGTTTGAGGTATCTATTACCAACAGTTTTAAATATGTCTTATACTTTTTATCTCTTGCAGTTTTTGCTTTCATTGACATAGCTTCATGATACATAACCATATTCTGACTTGGTTGGCTGCTCAAAGGAGACGGTGCTGTAGATTTTCCTGTCCCTTTTAGCCTTGCCTTCGCTTTCTTCTACCCCTCAGGACGTACCTCTCTACTCATGGTTTCCCCTTCTGTGTCTTGGTTGGATGAAGAAGTGTACGCTCCTGAGTTAGATAGCTTGGTCCTTTTTGTTGTGCTCTCCTCTTGGATGATTCTGCGCCATTTGGGCATCTCCTTGGCCACTTTCCACAGGTACTCATATATGAAAGACCTACCCTTGTTGCCTCCCTTGAACATCTCATGGGCTGTTTTCAGGACCATGTCATCAGATTGCCCACTGCTGCGTGCACTCATAGCTCGAGCATAAGCCCCACTGAACTTTGTGATATCCCTCTTGACATCACCCCAGTGTGTCTTCAATTGTTTGACTGACATCTTATGGCTATTTTTTGGCGCGTTGTCGTTGAACTCAGTAGCTACAGCTTTCCAATAGTACTCACATTTCTTGTCGATGCCGATTACGGGATCAGTGGAGTGATGTGTCCACGAATTGAAAAGCCGCTCATTTTCTTCTTCACTCCAATTGATGCGTTGACGCCTCTTTGGTTCTTCTTCTTCACTGCTATCACTTAAATCTTCAATGTTGACTGATTGCTTCTCTTGTTGTGCAGAGCATCGAGAACTAGACTCGGATCCATGAGAAGAAGTGTTGGCTGCAGCTCCACCTAAATGGACAGATTGAAGAACTGGTGGAGGCCTATTGGCTGCAGGTGCACCCAAACTTTTATGGAGATGAAATCCTTGAAAGCTAGGTGGAGGAGCTTGTAGCCAACTCCCTTGTTGTTGAACACCTTGAAATATGGGAGGAGAATGGCCATACGGTGGGTGGATTCCTGGAGGACCAAAAGGATTGAAGTTCTGCAGAAAATTGGATGTTCCAAAGGGAAACTGGGATTGGGGTGTAGGTGGTGAGATTTGGCCACTGCTCTCTGAGTATTGGGTTGGAGAGCCTTGATTCAGGAGGCTAGAAAAGTTTATGGGCGAGGGTTCCATTGTTGTGTTCTAGAGTTGAAAATCTCAGGCTCAGGTGTGAAGAATGCAGCACGAAGCTTCAGTTTTGTAGGCAGAGAGGGCTTCAGCAAAGAAGGCATGTACAGGAAGGAAGCCAACGCCCAACGCCCAACGCCCAACGGCTATCTTCCGAAGGCCAACGGCTCTTTCTTGTTTATTGTTGTGCGTCAGATCTACAGTGTACAAACCGTTTTTTATTGTCTTCTGGACTGCCCATAGTGTTATGGGTGGCTTTTACCTATGGACTGCTTATGGACTAGTTCTACAATGTACCAGCTATCTGATAGTAAATATTTAATTTCCTATGGACTGGTTTTGCCAACATTGTGGTTGCTCTTAGGCCCTGGCATGGCTCCAGCTCTGGTAGAGCTGCTCCACTCCAAAACTCCATTGGAGCCAGTTCCACTCTAGAACTCCAAAACTAAAATGTGGTGTTTGGCTAGATAGGTGCTCTCAGCTAAAAAAAAACCGATTTCAGTGTGGATTGCCATTGTTCCCCCAATTCAGGTCCCACTTGTCATCCTCTCTACCCCATCTTCTTCTTCAGAAGTCTCCTGTGTTTAGCTTAGATGAAATCGTGATGGCACCATTGCTGCTGCAACGTGTACTTTGCTCATAGCTTGATTCATTACGTACGTGCCTCTATCTTATAGCATATCCCTATCTATCCTGTATGAAGATCGTATCTATGTCCGGCCATATTTCTCCAAGAAGGTGAGTATCTGCGGCTCCAGGTACTTTCCATGGTAGATGAGCCTGGACATGGCCCTGTACGCGGCCTACGTCATGTAGATCCCGTCCCAGCTCAGGTACACCGCCGGCTCCATACACGCCGTCGCCCCCGCGAACCCACGCATCCGCCGCCAGTCAAAGTTGTACTCGCCGCCGCCCGCGCGAAGAAGTTTTGCGCGTGCTTTCGCCACGTCGAAGCCAAAAGGAGTTGTGGAGGAGTCGCGAGAAGGAGTCGCGCCCGGGACGCGACGCTGCATAGCTCCGCCACCTCACGCAGCAGCGCGAAGAAGTTGTGCTTAAGCGGCGGCGGTTTGTTCAAGACCGGAGGCACCCAGACGTCGTAGTCCATCGGCGATGGAGGGAGGGAGCGGCGGCGTAAGCGCGAAAAGGCGCTGCCGCTGCCGCCGGGCGCGCCCGATGGGATGGGGCAGTGCGTGGCCACCCGGCCGGACATGAGGGAGGGGCCCGATGACAAGCAACAGCGGCAGGAGGAAGTCACAACGCGCGGGTTCGCGAGAAAATAAAACGAATCGTTTTTTTTTGTAACGAGTGGCATTAGTGGGTAATTACCCACCAACTCCACGAGGAGGTTCAAGAAAGGGGTTTTGGAGCAGCAAAAGAGATACTCCAAAACTCCACTTTCATTTACGCTACAGCTCCATGGAGTTGGCAACTCCATGGAGTTTTGGAGTTGATGTGTTTGACTGAATTTTTTACTAGAGTTGATAGAGTCGTGGAGTGGAGCTATGTTAAACAGACCTTAATGACCCCCACCTGCTCCGCAGTTCTCGCGAGACGAGAGGACGCGGAGCATAGTCGTGCAGATTTTTCCTCCCTTTGCCGGGACGAAGATTTTCCTTTTTATGTTTTCGTTCTCGGGTTGTCACGCCGACGGCATCCGGTCCGGACCGGAGGCTGCCGGCTGCGTAAGGGAACGACCGACCGTGCAAGGGAGAAGTGGGCTGTCCATCGACATGGCCCACCAGAAAATAGTTACAAGCTTACGGCCCAGAATATTCCCAGCATGAGCCAGAGTCAGTCTAGCCCATCACAACAATTTAGGCTCGTCCTAGCTTTGCAGCCCATTCACATGTGCTGGCCTCGAGTCCTCGACGCCATCACGGCAAACAACGATGTACCTATCGCTAACTCTCGTCAGCTCGTACTGGCGCACCCACATCTTGATTTCAAAATCGTATGGAACGAATGATACCTGCCAAAAGAAAATGCGAAACGATACATAGGATGTCCGAAACTTCAGTAATCTGTCTCTCCCACACAGGAAGATTGAGACCTGCAAAATAAAAGGAACAAGAGAGATACTTTGCTCAACTCGCGCATCACGCGGGATGCTTCCTGGCGGAACTGTTTGGTAGGGCTCCGACTCCTTAAAAAAAAAACTCTGGTTTTAATTCTTCTGAAGGAGTAGATTCTCTTAGGGCGCTGAAACTGTTTTTTTAAGACCGTTTGGCGTAACAGCTTCACCGGTAGAAAAAAGAGTAAAAAGTCTATAATACCCTTTTTTTTTTCTTTGTTCTTTTCTTTTTCTTCTCTTTTCTTACGTTATCTGTTCCCCGTGTCTATTTTTCTCCTCCGTACCCTCCCCTTCATTCTTTTTCTCTCCTCATCTTCCCCAACCGCTCGCCTCCCGCATCGCGCAGACGCGAGAGTCGCAATCGCTTCGCCCTCGCACCCGGCCATCCTCGGAGATCCGGTGGTCCAAAGAACCCAAGACCCAGCCGGCCTGCAGTGCGTGGCGCTCATTTCCAATGACCTTGTGCTCGGGCACCCAACGGCCCAGCAGAACCCGCACCCGTGACCCGCGCGTTCAAGCGCTTGGAGCTCCGACGAGCCACGCCCGGATGGCGCCACAGGCGATCTACAGCTGGCCCCCTCCCCCATGTGTCTCCTCCCCGAGGTCGGGGACTCTCAACCTCCACGCTGAGGGGCGATGGGAGCCGGAGAAGCTCCATTTTTTAGCTCCACGACACACATTGCGTCTGTGAGAGCATGTTTTGCGGAGCTCAATGAGTGAATCAGTTGAGGAAAGTGATATTTGGCAGCAGAAGCTGAAAAATGGCTCTCGAAGCCGCTTGTGAATCCATACAAACAGCCCCAAAGTTCGGGTTCGCAATCATGGCCTCGGTTTCTAAGCCCCCCTTGTTCCAATCGCCGGGGCAACACTGTACTGCTAGCAGGACACATCAGTTTTTTTTGGTTGCCAGTACACATAGTTGATAGGGTAGTTCCTCATCCATTAGGCTATTTTTCTGACCAAAAAAATGGGCACTTGCGCCATCAGGTTGTACAGTAAACAAGTGTTCAATCCTGCATCGAGCCGCCAAAGCCTCTACCTTGTCTTATGTAAGGGCCCCTGCTTAAAGGTAAGCCTATCCCGTTTGGTTTGCTCAAACTTGGCTGAAATTGACTGAAAAACGTTGTTTTGGTTGAAATAATGTGAAAGAAAAATATTATTCAGGCTGAAAAAAAAGCCGAACAAGCCGGATTTAAGGTAAACCGGACGGGCCATGTCTAATTTAATCGGCAGGTTTGAGTGTTTAATTATTCTGATTTCTGAAAGCGCGTAGCAGCTTAGATGGATTAGTACTCGTTATTACTGGTGGACTGGTGGTCTTGTGTCCTTGTTCGACGAATCAGAGCTCCATTCTCGCTTTCTCAGCATTGGATGACAGACTGGCTATATCATGTCTGTCGCTTCAAACCATTTGCAGTAACCGTGGAGGCGGACACTTCCACTCTTTCTCTGAACTATTCCGACCACTCGATCGAGCTCTCCACTGTCCCACGACAACAGCATAGTTGACATCGCCATCTCGGTGATCACATCCACTTTTCAGTGAGAAAATATCATGGTGCTGGTCACGACTCACGACAATAGTTAATTCATAATTCCAGGAAGTTTCGGTCCATGTATGTATGTGCCCGTTTTTTTGTTTCTGAGTCTAATCTTTCTCTTCCTCGCTCTTATTTTCATCACCGTGCTTTCTCATTTGTAGTATTTGCACAATTTCGTACGATTGTATCAACGTACGTACGTACACGCGCTGGACAAGAAGAAGAGCAGCCTGAACGAATCGCTCACGACGGGGCACCCGAGAGAGACGGGTCCGTCCGTCCGTCCGGGAATCCCCCCAGGCCCCAGAGGGCAGACAGCCAGAGGCCCAGAGCCCCGGCTGAGCTCAACGTCCCGCTGCTTGGACTCGGGGTTCAGGGAGTCGGCACGCAGGATTTCCGAGTCCCCATTCCATTTCCACACGTCGCCATTGTGGACGACGACGCGGGCGGTCAAAAGCCACCGCGACAGGCACGGCCGCCCGGCCACGCATGCAGGGTCCTGTTCGCCTAGGTTCGTTTGATTGATAAGTTATGGCTTAAAATATTGTTAACTGATTTTGGGCGAGAAAAAAATACTATTCATCGACTGAAAAAGTACGGCAGCGAACAGCCACCAACACCACTCTAGCCGTCCCCGTCAAATCCAGCAGCGCCTGCCAGCAAAACAACGCGTCGGCGGCTATCGGCCAATTGCCAATCCGGCAATCCCTCCCGCACGCCGCGCGCCGAGCCCCCTGACACTGTGGCCCACTGTCGCAGCAGAGCGCCCCTGCGGCCCTTCCCCACCAACCAGCCGAACCGCGTGCCACGCCGGTTATCCGATCGGGTTGGTGCGCGTCCTCGTTTGACCGTCGGATCCGAGAGCAGCTTCTCCCATCAGCCCCTGCCCCGCTCACTTTTTCTCGTTACCTTCCTCAGCTGGAGTCCGGCACGGTCGAGGGCAGAGCACCACCAGGCAGCAGCAGCGATCGAGGCCTGCTTCGGCTTCAGCCGCCCCCCGCCCTTTATAAATCCCACGCCTGCGCTTCCTCTTTCGACAAATCGGTCGCGAGGGGAGAAAGATAAAGTCAAATTGCCGGATTTGCTTTGCTGCTCGCACCTGTGACCTTGTGAGGAGTGAGAGCCGGTCTTCCTCTTCTCCGTTGCCGAGGGGAATAAGCCAGCCAGCCAGGGCCTCTTCTCCGGGGGAAGAAGACGATGAGCGGAGGAGGCATGGACGGAGCTCCGGTCGCCGAGTTCCGGCCGACGGTGACGCACGGCGGCCGGTTCCTGCAGTACAACATCTTCGGCAACCTGTTCGAGATCACGCACAAGTACCAGCCTCCCATCATGCCCATCGGCCGCGGCGCCTACGGGATCGTCTGGTACGTTCTGTTCGATCTTGAGCCATGGCTGATTGCTTGCAAGCTGCAAAAAATGATTGCCAAGTGTTAGGATTACTACTAGTAGTTTAATGGATGATGGTCATGGATTGATTGGACTTGGACCAGCAATGATTCTTCTTATTTTAAATCTGTATAGATAGAGTATAGCAGTTGAGCTAGCGGTTTGGTTAATTTAGCTATCTACTAGTAGTGCAGTGGTTGGTGAGTTCTCGAATCGAATGAACACCCTAGCTACCTCACCTTTTAGGAAAGTATTTTTAGGGAATTATTACGGGTGGTTGATTATAATTCTGAAAATAACAATAATCTGTACGGACGCGGGCAGCTCGGTGATGAACTTTGAGACGAGGGAGATGGTGGCCATCAAGAAGATCGCCAACGCCTTCGACAACCACATGGACGCCAAGCGCACGCTCCGGGAGATCAAGCTGCTGAGGCACCTCGACCACGAGAACGTAAGCAAGCACACATGGCCTTGAATATATAGTTGAATCTGGCGCCGATTGCTGCTCCCATTTGGGTTTTGGGGATGACTGAATGACACATGGATGAACAGATCATAGGCATCAGGGACGTGATCCCGCCGCCGATCCCGCAGGCGTTCAACGACGTGTACATCGGCATGGAGCTCATGGACACGGACCTCCACCACATCATCCGCTCCAACCAGGATCTCTCGGAGGAGCACTGCCAGGTAACAAACACAAGTGTGATCGATCTATGGCGTCGCCATCAACCTTGCCGTGTGATCCGAATCCGACTGGCTAATATGATCTCGGTACGTGTCGTCTCGCCGTGCGAGCAGTACTTCCTGTACCAGATCCTTCGCGGTCTCAAGTACATCCACTCCGCCAACGTGATCCACCGCGACCTGAAGCCCAGCAACCTGCTGCTGAGCGCCAACTGCGACCTCAAGATCTGCGACTTCGGGCTGGCCCGCCCCTCCTCCGAGAGCGACATGATGACGGAGTACGTGGTGACCCGGTGGTACCGCGCGCCTGAGCTGCTGCTCAACTCCACCGACTACTCCGCCGCCATCGACGTCTGGTCCGTCGGCTGCATCTTCATGGAGCTCATCAACCGCCAACCGCTCTTCCCCGGCCGCGACCACATGCACCAGATGCGCCTCATCACCGAGGTACAGCCCTATCCCTTTGGCTGCAATCCTTTCCTAGTAGGAACAAGTGCGTGACGCCTTCTGGTCATCGCCGGCCGGGCAGGTGATCGGGACGCCGACGGACGATGAGCTCGGGTTCATCCGGAACGAGGACGCGCGCAAGTACATGCGCCACCTCCCGCAGTTCCCGCGGCGGCCGTTCGCGAGCCTGTTCCCGAAGGTGCAGTCCGTCGCGGCGCTGGACCTCATCGAGCGGATGCTCACCTTCAACCCGCTGCAGAGGATCACAGGTCAGTCCAGTCGTCGGCGCCTCGCCGAGGGCATACAGCTAGCAGCTTGTTTTTAGTAATTTCTTTTCACCATGTGCAACTGGTGCGTGCGGCTGCTGAATCCTCAACGCCGCACGTGTGCTTTCCCTATTCTCGTGCCGTGTTGACAGTTGACTATATTAGTAGGGTTTATTAGGAGCACTATCGTATCGTATTAACGTCGGTAGTCACTAGCATGTGGGCCCTCGCGATGCAGTGTACTAGTACTATTGGTATGTAGGCAACGCTACTGTCAACCTGCCACATTTCCAGAGAGGAGTTGAGTACACCTGGCAGTATGGCGGCACCGCGGCACACCTTCAATTCGTCGGTCTAAAAAAGAGGCATGCCAGGCGCTTGGTTTGTCCGCCCAATTTTTGGCGTCGGACTGGTCTGGTCTCTGCATATGCAATCTTTTTTCAGCATGTTCGCTTCGCTTTTGGTTTCAGCGAGGGCTTATCAGGCAGCCGACAGTGTTTTTTTCTCATAACAAACCAGCACTAGCCGGGCTTATCAGCTCAGAAACAGCGAACAGGCCGTTTGTCTCAAGTCGAAACTGTTACTTACTGTCCGCAGCAACAAAATGGGATGATCTGGTAGTTCTCTTTGTTGAATTCAGAGTTGAGACCATAACAGAAAACCGGGCATCATTTCTGTCATTTTATGACTAAATATATAGTAGTGATATACAGTACTCATATAGCGTTCCATCGAATGCGCTAGCGTAGCGTGAAACTTTTGTTGCTCAGCTTGTTGCCTACGGCCTACCGTCAGTGTCCAACCGACGGAACACTACCACACTGCGCTTGCAAATATACAGCTAACATGCTGACCGATAGAAAAGTTGCCTCAGGGACAAAAGAGAGTCGTACAAAAAATCCTGCTCCCGCTTCCCACGAGACAAAATCTAAGTGTAACTTCGTACATTTTATTTTAAAAGAAAAATTGTAACTACTTGTTTCTCCTTCTGCCTTTCCCAATTCTTATTGTGCACCCTGGTCATCAAAGTTGTACTCGCTGTGGATTTCTCTCCATATGCATCCAAAGCCTTTGCTACCTTTGCATTATTTTGGGGGCTGTTGCTTTGACCCATCCTCGGCGTTGTAGCCTCCTCAATATCGCTTTTGCCGAAGTGACGATGACGGCTATGTGTACATACAAAATAAACATGTTTTAAGATGGAAAAAAACAAAGGCTATAGATAATCTTCAATATTAGATTTCTCTACTGCAGGCAGCTGTCTAGACTAGCGGAGTTTACTTCGGAGACTCCCCTATTCTTTCTCTTTCTTCGTTGGTTCTAGACTAGTTATACAATGACTGTAAGAGTTCACGAGTGGCTGATTTCATTCTCTCAGTTTTCTCACCGAGATCTGTTGTTGCCATGCAGTTGAAGAGGCGCTGGAGCACCCGTACCTGGAGCGGTTACACGACATCGCCGACGAGCCCATCTGCACGGAGCCATTCTCGTTCGACTTCGAGCAGCAGGCTCTGACAGAAGACCAAATGAAGCAGCTGATATTCAACGAGGCCATCGAAATGAACCCGAATTTCCGATATTAGATTGGATATATATATATGGTTCCTCTTTTATCCACCACAATGTTTGTACATAGGCGTGAGATTGAAGAGCCGGGGTAGACTGAACATTGCATTTGTTAGTTTGTTGATGTTCGAGTCCACTATCCTGGTCTGTAAGGCTGTGTAATCTGTTGCTGCAGGTTTCAGGCGTTCCTGTAATGAGTTGTACCAAGAATAAAAAAAAGGTTTGGACTCTGGGTCATGTTTCTCGGGCATACAGAATCACAATTGTCTCCCAAGTTAGCTAGCGCAGCTTCTTACCGAGTTCATACAGTTCAGATTCAGAACACGGAGAGGCCAGTACGATGGGTCTTGTTTGTAGCTAACTTTTGCAAGCAGTAATTTAATATACGGCCGAACTACTCGTCCATTTTAAACTGTAACTCATTTAAGATTTATTGTAAGTTAAATGTATCTGTTGTTTGCCAAATTTATAGAAAAATATATATTAATGTCAACAATAATAAATATCAATTAAATGCAAAAAACAATTCACGGATTAACCGTCCACTTCAGTTTCATATTTAGAATCTTGGTTTTTTTTAAAAAAAATATGGTCAACTAAAAAAATTTGATTTAAAACAAAATTAAAGCTACTTACGATTTAAAACAAAGATAGCGTGTTGGAACTTAGTGCCGTGATTGCAAGCCACTATTTGCTACAAGGAGTGGACGGTTCCAATGACAATACGAATGGTTCCAATGATAATAAAAAATTGTTAAAATGATTATTTGAACCACGATAAAAAGGTGATGGGATGATTAATGATATCTTTTTTCAAGTAATGAAAAATTAATGATTAATGATATCTTTTTTCAAGTAATGAAAAATTAATGATAACATGTCTCCACGTGTCTTCTTTAATCTTATTCATTTATGCGTGTTTGGTGTGGCTCCCGCACGGGCTCCTCCAACGACTCCGGCACCAGAGCCGGACATTGCGAAGATGTGTTTATGTGAGTTGTCTCTGAGTCTGAGAGAATAAACACCGGGAGTACTAGGTAGGGAATTTCAGAAATTGAAAACCAGAATCACTGCAAGCGTCTGGCCGTTTCGACCCTATATACAAGCAGAAATCGAGAAACGTTTCCCACATGAAATGGTGCGCCACAAATGCGTCGCCGATTCGACGATAGACGGAACGGATCCAGATTGCAAAACGCTCCCGATAATGCACCAGGTACAGCTTGAAACCAGTAATTTGCATCACTTATAACATTCACCGACACGACCAACAGAACTAATTTGCATCACTTACATCCACCGATACGGCCAACAGAACTCGAACGTAGTCGTAGCGAGGCAAAGAAAGCGTATTAAGCTCCCAGAGAAAAATGGAAAACAGAACTTACTCCGTTCGGCTCCGACTCAAATTGCTCAAGCAGTCGAACCACCAGAAATAATCAGAACATGCAGCACAACCACAGCCTTTTAAACCACACAAGCTGTGAACCGAACCAAGGGAAACCAGATAAAAGCAAAGTAACGAGAACATACTGCAGCCATAAGATCATAGATACTGTAGATCTAGTTTCAGTTGCATACAGCATCAGAGTCTAGGCAAACGGACAAAGGGTCCCCATTCAACCATAGACAAGGTTCCATGAACAGCCTAAGGGCAGCGACAAATTTATTACAGAGAAGACACTAGACAATCTGCTGGTTCACTGATTCCAGATGCAAAAGATCACACGATTCCATACAGGCAGCAGTTTGTACCACTCCAGGATAGGGGCCATTTAAGCATCAGCAAACCTGCATTCCAGAAGAGTAAACGATCAGATTTGTTCCACTGATCAAGCACAAAATGTGCAATCAATGGTTACTCACCCCAGTTCAGAGAGCTTGAGGTGGGCCTCTTTGTAGTCTTCAAAGAATGCCTTCTCATCCTACAAGACACGATAATCAGTGTCTCCCTACAGATCTCCATACACTGGATAACAATGAGGACATACCGCAGCATATTTCTCCACAAGAGGGCGGAAAGCAGGGTCGCTCAGCAGGGCTTTGTCACTTGGAAGCTGAAGAAGGCCCTCCTTGTCACCACTCAGAAGTTCCCTACGGAAATATGGAAATAGTTCAGGAGATATGGGATAGCTATTAAATTTCTAGTATAGCATTAAGCTGCCCAGAAATGACATAACAAAGGTAAACAAATTCTGAGTATTTCTTAACTAAATGCAGTTGCTTTTCAATAGTAAACAAGACACAGACTCACTTGAAGTAAGAGTAGTCAAAGACCAAAGGGTTTGTAGTCCAGGCCCCCTCAAAACCAGACCGCTCTTTGTGGCACCTTCCCTAAGAAAACCTCAAAGAAAACTAAATCAGTGCAAGCAAACATATTACATTCCTGAAGGAAACATGGGTGGACAGTAACAAACCAAGGTGTGGCCACCAGAGAGGGCAACAATGTCCTGATCGCTCAAACCCATCTGCTTGCCAAAGACTTGCCTCAGGTGGTCAGAACCTGGTTAAAAAAAGCAGCGAGCAAGGAATAAGAGTCGGTCCTCATGTCAATAAAAGTGACATCAAAGCCTTGAAGGACATGGTGAATATAGCCAATCAATTCAGCATTCATGACAATCATAGTGAAGATTAGAGATCTACCCTTAGTGGCATCAGGAAGGCGGCCCTCGGGCGGGGGCTGAGGCTTGTCCTGAAAGAGACAAGGAAAGATGTAAATACTCAAGTTTTTACAGTGACAAACACTGATGACGAAAAAAGCCATGGAATAAATAATAGTATCAGTAAGTCATGCCTATCTCTATAGTTATAGTAAACACAAGAGAAAAGGGATAGAATCCAACAACATTCCCACCAAACGTTAACTGTCACCCAACACATTGTAATGACAAATCAAGGGAAAATAGTATCGGCTTTGGACACCATCCAGAAAGTTTATGGTCTATATGTGTATAATAATTTGACAACATATCAAAAGGGACCATACGTGGAGATAATCTGCATAATGCACATCACCATCAGGGTAAGGCAACCAGAATTATCTAGATGTCACGAAATGCCTAGACTCACACTTACAACACACATACTAATACCCAATAGCATACTCTGGAAAATTCTGTGCATCCAAGAACAAAACAAGTGGACCTCCACAATAAAGAGACAAAGACCTGTGATATGGTATTGTATTGGCCAACACATAAATATGTATAACAGGATAAGGGCAAACTGGTTTGGCAACACAATATATGCTTAAGATGACAAGAATCCAACAGGTAGTGTGAAATAAGTATATATCATCATTCAAAGCAATAGAAAGTTGGATAGAGAACACCAATACAAAATGATAAAACGACCGATTATTTTTCCATGCAAGTCCAGCATTTCAACAGTACTTTGCAAAAGGAAGGCTATGTGGACATAATACTCCAATTGCCCAACACAAAAGAACCACTGATGTTAGAAACAGTTTCTAAACATATTTTTTGATAAGTTATTAATGCCATCCTTTCTCATGCAAAAAAGTATGAAACAAGCATTATAGTTACTAATATGATTCTCCTATCACATCTATAAGATGACAATGAATGAATGGGTACAAAACAAAATGAACTATGCACATACTGAAGGTTGCATCTCATATATTTGATGAACACTACAGTAAATCACTAAATTATTTTTACAGCAAAATGGCCTGCCATTCAATGATGGTATCTATAAACTAATCAAAACCTAAACTAGTGGCCACGTAAGACGAAACAATGAACCCACAGAGCAGAAAGATGCGTGGACACAAATCTCAAATAAAGGTTACCAGCAGCATGCCAGGAATAAATGATTATAGCTAACTGTAAGAGGTCTCTACCAAACAGACGGTAAAACGGAAATAGATCGGTGGTACTAGTTGGAGTAAACAACCACGATCTCACTAGACGACCTTCACACTTACCTCCTGGGAGATTTCGAAACAAGACCTTAAACCCTGACTAAACCCCAAAGGCAGTTAAAAATGGATGAAAAATCTCACCTCCCTACCGGGGTGGAAGGGGATCTCGGGCCCACCGGTGACCTCCACGGCCACAACTCCCGCAAGCTGCAAAAGGAGCAGAGAGAGAAAGGTACGCGGTCAAAACGCGGATCCATTCGGGCAGATCGAATCATCCAACCAGATCGATGCGAGATCGGGGACAGACCTGGTAGAAATCGGCGTAGGAGAGGATGGGGAACTCCTCCTTGATGGGCTCGAGCAGCCGCACCGCGATGTCCAGCCCCGCGTTGGCGCCGTGCGCCAGCTCCGCCGGGTTCTTCATCGTACCGAATGGACCGCCGGTCCTCGTCGACACGTCGAACGTCCCCGCGGAGTGCCACCTGCGCGATAAGGAAAACCCTAGATCAGGCAACCTGAAAAACTCCGCCACAAAGATCTGGAAATGCGCGCGCAGGGTAGGTAGGTGGGCGAGAAGAGGCTTACGCGATGCGGAGCATGAAGGGGGCGCAGCTCTTCTCGGCGATGAGGGCGCGGAGCTTTTGCCTGGCCTTCTCGACGGCCTCGCTGTACTCTGCGCTCACGGTCGGGTAGTTCTTCGCCATGGCTGCGAGCAGAGAGCTTCGGATCGCAGAACGCGATGGGATGCGACTAAACGCGGCTGAGGGAGGATCACAAGAGATGCTGGGGGCAAATGGCCGCCACGCTCCCCGGGGCTTTATATTGGGGAAACCGAGAGGGCGGAGGATTTGCTAGGAGAAAGGGAAGCTTCTGGTGGATGCATCGTGGCCGTCAATCCGCAAGATCGTGCGGCCAGAAAGGATGTACATTTGGCCGGGCATGCTTGGGCCGTGTGGCCTGCCAACGCTGCCATTTGGGCTCATGAGATTTCACTAATTTACCCTTGCAAAGTTGCTAGAGGAGGAGAATGCAGTGATGATATTTTGGTCATTTCGTCTGTGGCCCCGCCCTCTGTCTGCGGATTAAACGGCGACGGTTCACGGCTTCACGGACGCGCGGGCCACGTGAGGCGCGCGGTTGGTGGCCCAATAACGCCGGCCACTACTCTCGAGCAGAGTGCCACCGGCCTGATCCATCCTATCTCACGCACAGTTGTTCAATGTCCACCGGTACCGCGCGCAAATGGTACACCGTACATTGCCCTTGCCGTGAACGTGATGGAAACGATCAGACGACCAGCAATGGGTACACCAGACCACAGGCACAGATTCGTTCCTCCTCCAGAAGTTTTGGTCCAAGTTTTCATCCTCTCGTGATCCTTTTCCCACGCACAACTCAAAGCTTGTTCTCATTTCTCTATTTTATTTTTTCCGTTTTCCAAAAAATGGGGAGAGCAACAAATGCTTGCATCAACTCTTGAACAAGCATTAGATGGAAAGGAATAAAATAGAGTCGCTTCAACTTCCAACGGGCTGCCTTCAATTCATTCATACGTACGACAGAAAACCTGGTGCAAGGGCTGGAAGTAACCGAACGCGCCCTTGCTGCAGCTGCAGCTCTGAATTTTCACCCTGGACCAAAGCCAAGACCGAAGCGCACGACCAGCCATTCCGGCAGCCAGTTTGGCTGTTTTTCCTGAGCAGAACATGGTGCCCATACATCACACAGGTCTTGAAAGGAACTTTTATTGGCGCGAAGACAGGCGTCTGAACACGAGCTGCAAAGACATCTTTGTGAAGCCTTCGTTCCAGTTTTAGTCAGACAGGGTGACTCGATGGCGGTGGCAGACCACGGCAACCCAAAGTCCAAAGATGGGTCGAACCGGGCAGATCAGTGTGCAAGCTTTATTTTAGAGACCAGTGAAACGTGCCGGTTTAGTTAAAGGGACTAAGACCGGTGAGCTTATTTTAGTTTCTTCTAGTCCCTAGTTTACCAAACACGAGGGACTTTGGAGCTAATAGTCTCTAGTCCAATAGTTTATTGAGAGGAGCTATTTGGGACTTCTGACCCAAAAGGATAGCCCATACCCCCCTCTCTCTCCTCCCTCGTGAGTCTCTCTCCTCCCGTGCGGCTCTCTCTCCTCCCCGCGCCCGCCTCAGACATGGGAAGACGAGGATGCCTCCGTCGATGGGAGCAAGAGGGTGTTGCTGTCGTTCCTGTTCGCCCTCGATCTGGATCTGGGTGAAGTTGCAGTCGCCCTTGCAGTGGACGATGGCACCACCACCGGTGCATCGAGGAGGCGTCGGTGCCGCCATCGTGGAAGACGGCGTCGCCGCCAGATCCGCCATTTTCTTCGAGGGACGCCACAACCGGGTGAAGGGGAGGAGCCGCCGTGGCGTCGGGTTGTGGGGACAGGCCGACGTCTGGGGCCGCCGTGCCCGCGGGTCGGGTCGGGTCGCGCACGCCGCCAGGGCGGTCCGGTGTTGGGGGCGGTGGTAGGGATGCCCGTCGACGCCGCCTTGTTGTGCGTGATGCAGACGGGGGAGGGGAGAGAATGAGGAAATGGGGAAGGAGGAGTTGGACTAGGGGCCTTTTGGTCTTTGTTCAGCACCTTTAATGCCTCCTTTTTAAGTCCCTCGAACCAAACAGGCTATTAGTCCATATTTTAGCTCTCTAAACTGCCGTTAGCGTGTGGAAAACACGCGATTGTCCAATCCTTCCTTCGACCCCCGCTATCGCCTATCGCGTCAAATCAACTCATCACAGCCTTTGTACTCCCTCCGTCCAGAACAGAATGCAACTACAGGTTGCGTGCTAACGAAAATAGTTCATGTTTGACCAAATTTCTAATAATACTATTCATATTTATGACTTTAAAATAATTTATTAAGATAATAAATTTGATAAATAATCTAATAATACTTATTTGATATCATAAATATTATATTTTTTATTTATAATTGATGGAACCACGATGGTATGCTAGAATTACATTATTTGCCTAGTACAAACAAAAAGCGTAGAGGAAGACGATAAAAAGTTCGGAATCAGCGAAAGCCATGCTGTGCAGACGATAGGATCGGGCGAGCAACGGAAGCATATTCTTATCCGAGCCGGCTAAAAAAATAGCCCACCCAGTACACCCACTGACACACCCCACCCGGTCACGCGGCCACGGGGCCACCGACGGCCCCCATTTGGTGCTGCTGCCAGGAATCCGCACCAACCCCATCCAAATGCCCAAGCGCACCGCGACAACGGGTACTGGCACCCGCGCGGCGGTGATTCGCGCGAAACTGATGGTGATGGCGACTTCCATGGCAGATTCGCGCCCACAGCCGCACGGCGTGACGGCATCGGCGGAAATTGTTTTTTTTTTCTTTTCCGGCAATTCCACTTGGGGGTGGATCCCACGGCGCGCCTTACGTGTCGGCTGCTTTGCGGGATTCGCGACGACGGCTCGCGCTAGCCGCTAGCTTTGTTTGCTTCGTCTCGATGGCGACCGGCGAAAAGCTCCAATCGCCCCATGAGTGCGAGCATGGCGTCATAAATTTTGTACAGTAATTTGCTCGGAGAAGTGGCATGTTACTCCGGTGTATGACTCGATCATGTTTGAGGCCTCCGCCAGCTGATTATGAAAGGCAAGCAATTCAAAAAAAAAAAAAATGTACAGTAGTATTTACTACGGATATTTCGGCTCCGTTCGCTGGATGAATCTGATAAATCTGGAAGAATTTGCGAGAGAAAACACTGTTCCAGGATAAAAAAAAGAAATGGATCAACACGTGAACGGAGCCGTTTTGGGCTGTTTCCACCTCACCAGCGTTGGTGAGAAGGCTTGACGAACAGGCCGAAGTGTGTGTGAGCTTGGCAGCGAACCACGATCCGCTACCTGGGCTCGCTGATTTTCGGCCTTTTTAGGATTATACAGGCTAGTAAGAAACCAGACGATCTCACGCAAGCAATGACGACGGATGGTGATGACTGACGAGTGACGACGAGAGCAACGAGTGGTTGGCTTTTAGTCAAGCCAAAGTCCACGGAAAGTGAAAACCGGAAACCGGAAACGAGCAAGCGTGTGAGCTGTATGTATCCAACAGATTGCCTTAACGCCCAATCCAGTAGTGCGCGTGCTCATGAAAATATTCCACTCTGATCTACTGCTACAGTACTTCTGGGACAAAAGATGCTCGAGAAGGATGCAGTGATGCACACTGGGAAATGGGGATGCTTATCTTTTCCAAGATCCTATGCGATTCGGTTCTTGGTTCAATCCGAAGACTTCCCCGGCCGCACGAGCGAGTGGGCAGGTGCAAGACCATTCGTGCGGACGTTTATACGTGGTAGAAAAGTCATCGACATGCCAACTAGTGGGCAAAAACTTTGCGGAAGGATTAAGGGGGGAACGGATAAGGGCGACGCCGGCAGTGGCTTTAGTAGCCCCAACTGCCCAAGCGAACATGCTTCTCTTGAATATATATAATAATTCGTTGTTCTTTGGCGGAAATTAAAAAAAAATACCGTGGCTAATTACTCATATCCATGTAAGGGACCAACAATAAACTTACATTCTCCTTATAAAAAAACAATAAACTTAGATTCTCCAGAGAGTTTGTTTAATGCATCCTCTGTTCAAAGATGAACACAACTATTCCCGGAACAGGTTCATAAAAAGAAAACGAACTCTTCCCCGATCGAACAAATGCGATGGGAAACGGTTTCAATTTTTCTCAGTTGATGCACGCATGCATGACTCGAGATGCCGAAAGTCTGAACTCTGAAGGATACATTACAGTTGCACACGAATCCGAACGAGGGGTACGTTCACACAAAGAAGAGCAACGACGAGAGATCACCGGGTGCAGCAAAGAGAACATTCACTCGCAGATGAGATTCAGACAGCTTAGGTGCGGCCCCATCGATTGATCCAGAATTATTTATCACAAGTTACATTACACAGCCAAACCAGCACAAACACACGGTCTAATCTGTACACCACCACCACCCATCTGCACGCTCGTCCTCCACCCCAAACACGATCCGCATGCAGGCTTCAATTAGCAACCGGCAGCTAGCCTAGAGCCTAGCAGCAAACCGGCCGGCGGCGACGCGCGGCGGCCAAACTTGAGCAGCAACTAAACAAACCATCACTTACGGGGGCTCGCTCCTACCGTCCTCCTACGCACGCGCCGTGCGTCAGTCGGCGCGGTAGCCAGTGGCGGTGGAGTTGCCGCCGCCGCCGCCTCCTCCGCCACCTCCACCGCCGCCGTTGCCGTTGTCGCCGTTGCCGCCGCCGGTCAAGTCCCTGATGATCTGCTTCTTGATGTCGCCCCTCCTGGGGTATGGATTCCCGTGGGGCTTCTTCCTCTCCTCCTGCTTGTCCATGCTGCCAAGTCACGCGCGCACGCAGGAACGGCGGTGGGCGCGCCTCGAGGCTGAGAGTGGGTCTGTGTCGAGTACCTAGGTTGGGGGCTTCTTTATACTAGAGCCAAATCGCAAGCGCCATGTGTTCAACACAGCGTATTGGCATTGGTTTTGTGCCAGTAAAAATAATTGGCCTGGGCACGACTAGTCGTCGCAAAAGAGCTTTGCACAGAGACTCGATAGGTATTATTTGCTCGTAGCCGAGCATAGCGCGCACCTCTCGCTTTCAGTGGCATTGCGCCATTGCTGACGTCTGATAGGGGACCCTTGTGCATTGGCTTGCCTCGGTGCCGTGTGCCTGTGTGTACTATGCACGATCGATTCATCCTTGCGCAAACCGAGGCCAGACAGGTGGTTGCGGACGCGTGTCGACTCACGAGTCGCAGATCTCACAGTTCACACACACTCTCAGCTCTGAGTGACTGGAGTGGCTAGGGGCGAGCGTGATTGGTTGGTAGGATCCAGCATAGCTAAACCCGAAGATGCAATTGTCGATTGATTGGTTACATGTATTGATTGACTAGCGTCGTACCCGGCATCGCAACGGCAAAAAATAATTATATGATTCCATTTACGATAATTCGAGTTTGAACGTGTGTTGTACTATTAAAAAATAATGCGTTGAATGTGGGTTCACAACATTCAGTCTGTAGTTAATCTTCAATATTACATGAGTTTTTACGAAGCATAAATAATTAGAATATAATTCAAGTTCTAATATGAAATGCAAATAGTCTAGTTATACCCTGCAATTTTATTTTTTTAGGGTGGCAACAGTATAATTTATTTGTTTCGATATTTAGTCAAAATAAAAAAAAAATCCCTTGTTCACATCCTTCTTAACCGATGGCATGACTAAGAAACGAAATTCTTTTTTTTTATCGGCAGAAACGAAATTCTTAGTGGCGTGGACGTGGTGCAGTGTTGCCTTATATGGTACTTACCGATCTGAAGTTTGAAGGAAAGGGAAAATATAATATGGAAGGAAAATCTGATTAGAAACATGTGCATGGACGTGATTGCGGGGGAGTGGCATGGTGCGGGAAAAAATTTGTCCCAGGAGTGGCATATGGTGGTGGGGGTGGGCAAGTACTACGGGTAGTGTCATGTCGTGTGGTGGGAGGAAAAAATCAAGACAGGCTCCGTTCGTCCGGCTGGTAGACCTGAACATTTGCCGCTTTTAGTCGTAGAGATTGGTTGCCTGAAATAGCAACCGGATATATATACCACTATATCCATTCGGCCATGCCGTCGGCCATCGCCCCTCGCCTGGCTTCGTGCGACACAGTTTGAGGTGGGTGTGTCGTGTGGGGGATGAGAGAGCAGTGGTTCAAGGATAAAATGCCCGTGCAATCAATCAATCAATCAGAATCTTCATATGCTCTGCATAAATGATATAGGGCCTAGTTGGATCCATAATCTAATTTTAGCCACTAAACTTTAAACGACTTTAACTATTGAGACTTTAAATAGATGATCTAAGTGTTGTCTAAAGTTTAGCTAACATCATAAAAAAGAACAGTAGTCCATTAGAGCCTATTTAGATCCCATGGGCTAACAACTAGTTGCTAAACTTTAATACTTGAGGATTCAAACAGAATGACTAATGAGTGGACTAAAGTTTATCCAAAGCCCTAACAAGTTGTTAGGCCACTTGTTCTTCAAACCCAACTAAGGGGGTGTTTAGATCCGGTGACTAAAATTTAGAAGGTGTCACGTGATGGTGTTGCATGGGGTGTTCGGATATTAATAAAAAACAAATTATAGAATCCGCCAGTACTCCACGAGACGAATTTATTGAGCCTAATTAATCCGTTATTAGCACATGTTTACTTTAGCACGACATTGTCAAATCATGGATGAATTAGGCTTAAAAGATTTGTCTCGCAAATTAATCGCAAGCTGTGCAATTAGTTTCATAATTAGTCTATATTTAATACTCCATGCATATGTCAAATATCCGATGAGACAGCTGACTAAAATTTAGGAGGAGAAACAAAACACCCCTAACAAAAGCTAAAAGTGCTACAGATAAAAAAAAAAAGCCATCTCTATCCTCTATTTTCTCACTAGCTGAGTGAGATAGAAAAAGTAGGAGGGAGGGTATATCTGTCTAGGAGCTATTAGTTGAGCATCCAAACAAAGGCTATAATTTTTTGCTAATTTTTAGTCGACTATCTTTTAGGCATAGCTAACATAACAACTAGTTCTAATCCATCCAAACAGGCCCTTACACCACATAAATGAGCTAAAGTAGTCTAATCTTTAGCCTTTAATTTTAGCTAATGAAACTTTAGATCATATGATCCAAACATAGGCATAGATTGATAGTCGGATATCAATCATGGGTGTGGAGATCAATTGAAACTAGAAGATGGGAGCCTGGATCAGCGGTACAAACCAGACCAAGCTAGACCAGTAAACCAATCAGATCCAATAACTCTCGCCTCGAATAAAAAAATATTTCCTCCATTGCAAAAAAAAATGCAAGTATACGATTCACGTCAGTCAACTTAGCTTAAATTTGACTGATTTTATAACGGATAATATTAATATTTATGTCTCAACTAGGTTACTATAAAAATGCATTCCTTAATTATTCTAATGATACTTATTTTGTATCATAAAAGTAAGTATTTTTTGTATATCCTTGATGAAATCTCAACTATTTGACTCTTAAGAAATGAGAATTGAATTCTTTTTTAGATAGAGGGAGTAATCGTGTTAAGTTCTTTCTTCTTCTGTCGATGTTGGAAAACTCTTTCTGTCTCACAATAAAAAAAACACATAAATATATGATATAATAAATATTCTAAAATTAATAATGAAATGTATTTTTGTACTTTTTTAATATTTTAGTAATTTTTAGTTTAAAATGAAAAAAAAATCGCACAATTGGTGACTCAAGCTGGTATTATGATATCTGTTGTAGGCTGTTCCCAGTAGTGCTAGCCTATTTTCTCTATTTTCTCTATACTCAATGCTGCATAGCTGGAATGCTGGATCTGCAAAAACCGAGACTATTGGATCCACTGTGGGCGTGCGCAAACAACCCACCATAAATTGGTTTCAGCGAACAAATGACACAGTCGCCGATACAGTAGTCCTACAGAGAAGAAGAGCAAGATTGAGACCGTGCCTTCTTCCGATTTAGTTGGTTGTAAAGTTTTAGTGTCACGTTAGGTGTTACGTGGGGTATTTGCATACTAAAAAAATAAATTACAGAATCCATCAATAAATCATGAAACGAATTTATTAAGCCTAATTAATCTGTTATTAGCACATGTATGTATTGTAGCACTTTTATTGTTAAATCATGGATTAATTAGACTTAAAAGATTCGTCTCGCAAATTAATAGCAATCTGTATAATTAATTATTTTTACTCATTTATTACTACTTTATGTATATATTCGATGCCATAAATGTAAAGTTTTGAGGCGGAAGCATAGACAACTCAATCAAGAAAGAATGTAAAGTTGTCTTGTCACCGTCATACCTCATAGGGCCTTGTAGGTCATAGGGCCTTGGTCAGACTTCTTGCTCAGCCGTGTGAGCCGCAACAACTCACCAACGCTCTGTTTGTTTTGAGCTGGTTTGGTTTATAAACTATAACTAAAAGTACTATTGGTTGATTTGGTGTGAGAGAAAAATATTATTCGTTGACTGATAAATCATGACTTATAAGCTAGATATGAGCAAACGAACAGGCTGCAAATCGGTTTCTAGCTCAATCCTTGAAGGCATGATTGCGATGCCTAAATCCCGAAGGACGATGTAGGAAAAGGTTTACACTGACGACTAGAATATAATGGGTTTCTGGATCGTCCATGCATGATTCAGACGAAACACAGCAGACAAAAGCAGCAGTGAGAATAATAGCAGGGGCCAGTGAGAAGATTTATCATCTATCGCATGGCACAAAACTACAAAAGAAAGCGATCATCCCGATCGAATGGTGGTTGTAGTATTGTGCTCCTGGTCTGGTTGTGTAACGCAATGTTTGTTTCCCCGGATTTTGGATCGCGAGCTCTTGCTCTGCTTCGTTCTCTGTGCCAGCCTATGATTCGCGGGTGTTGTTTCAGTGGGTGGGCGAACAGATACGGTCCGAATAGTAAGGCCCTATTTGTTTCCCTTAAGACTTTGTCCTACATTTTTAGTCTTTTTTTCTATAGGGATCAAAGAGGTTAGCTAAAAGTGAACAAATGGGATGAATTAAAGTTTTGTCCATTTGCACCTCAAAAGGTGCAAAACAAGGCTAAAAAGCCCAATACCCCCACCTGCGCCCACTCTTCCTTAATTAAATGAGGGGCAAATTAGTCAATTTATGATGAAGAACTAGACTTTTGGCATGGATCTAAATACCCCACGTAGGACTAAAATTTAGCAGCAAAAGTTGAGGGAGCTAAACTTTTGCCATGCCAAATGATAACAAACAGGGTCTAAGTACTCCCACTATGCAATTAGTTTTGAAATTAGTTCATGTTTGATTTTTTTAATTAGCATTCAAACATAGTAGTGATTTTTAACGGCCGAGATCTAAACAGTCCTTATATTGTGTCGGTTACAGTCCACTGTCAGTTGCATCTTTTCACCTCACCTTGGGGCTCGGAGAAGTAATGTACTGTATAGCACTCCTCCGATCGTAACTTCTTTCACGTCACATATAGGCTGATAGGCATAGGTCCCGTTTAGATTTAAAAAATTTTGCGTAGTACCCGTCATATCGAATCTTGTGGCACATGCATGTAGTACTAAATATAGATAAAAAAGCTAATTGCACAGTTGGGTGAGAAATCGCGAGACGAAACTTTCGAACCTAATTAGTCTATAATCAGACACTAATTGCTAAATACAAACGAAAGTGCTACAATAGCCAAAACCTTAAAAAAATTGAATCTAAACACGCCCATAGTGTGTGTACGATAATGGAATGCAGATGGAGTAGACGTGCCCCTCGCACCAGTCAAGCACACTCAGCTCAGGCCGCGCAAGCTGCAAGCTGGACTCTGGACTGACCTCTTTAGAAAAGGTTTAATCACCTCTGTTAAGTATTTCCTCTTATGTTTGTGTTAGAGCGCAGGCGTCATTGGCGAGTGACGTAGCGCATCCACTAAGGGGCCGTTCGGTTATTTCGGAATGGAGGTAGTAATCAATCCGGCTGATGAATTATTATACAAATTACACAATCATTCCTGTCAGGAATAATTCCAGGCCATGAATTCGAAACAACCGACCAATCATTCCTGTTGGTGTTTTGTTTGGATTGGTTAATTCGTACATCTAGCGAAGAAATGCGTGAAAATCATGCATCGGGACGGAAGTGGACTATCCTCAGCTGCACTGACGGTGATGCCTGTGATGGGGGATCGGAGTAGCGGAGCTCAGGACCGCAAAAGGAGTTGTCCACACGAGTCGGCAATAATGCTGCCAAACTGGTCACCAAGAGTTATTGCACAACACACACACAAGTTACAGAAGGAACGAACCCCTCGATCGCCGATCAACTACTCCATATTACCCCACCACCACCATGCCATGCACACATCCTACACAACATTACATACGGATCGAAAGGCTTCAGGAAACCGGCCGGCAGCCTAGCAGAAAGACACCAGGCCAGCTTACTAAGCAACAAGCACGTACCATCATGCGTCAGCCAGCAGCGTCGGCGGCGCCGGCAGCATCTCCACTGCCCCTCTCGCCGTCGTTGTCGCCGACGTTGCCGCCGCCGCCGCCGTCACTACCATCACCACCAGGGTTCTTGGTGCTCCCTCCGCCGATTAAGTCTTTCACGATCTCTTTGATGATGCTGCCCCTCCGGATGTTGGGGTTGCCGTGGGGTTTCTTTCTCTGGCCGTCCATGGCGCCCAGCTCTCGCGCACACACAGCTTGGAACTCTGGCGAGAGGCCGGCACCCCGATTTGGTTGTGACCGTGTGTGAGCGAGCTGCACAGGCGAGGTGCTATATATCCGCTATGTCATTTCTTTAACACAATGTATTTGTCTTTTGCACCTAGATAGAAGTATAATAAGGGGAAAAAACTTAAAAACACTGAGGAACCTCAGTAGACGACTAGTCGTCTAGTCTGTACATCGATCACGGCTATACGCTTTCGTTCAAGTGGATACCTCATACCTGTCTGGTTTTATGCATTAGAAAGAGTGCAGGGCTATTGCTTATTGGCTGGCAGGTGCTGATGTCCAGTTCGTGGTTCTCGTACTATAGTTCTGATCTAGAACGTGAGCGTTGACTGACCGTCTGACCCAGTGACTAACATGCATGAGCGGAGGCTGGATTGGAATATAGCGGAGGGATCAGCAGGCAAAAGGTCACAGAAATCATGGGGTGTCGCTGCTAGACTATGTCCTTCTTTTACATATTTAAAACAGGTACTGTGCTTATGATAGATGATGATTTTTTCACGCAGATTGAGAAAATCTCCGAACCCCTATTTCATCCATATACAACGGCACCGTTGTCCATGTAAGACTGAACCATGCCTTAGACATGTGCTTTGGTACGAGACAAACGAGGGTTTTTTTTTATGACATGTCAAACCCCCAACCTAGGGCTTCCCACCACCAGGAGACCACCAACTCAGCTATTGCTCAGTTGGCTCTTTTGCAGATTTACACTCTATATGATTTCTCGTAGCGTGAGATGTAGAGGAAGCAGTGCGTTACCTGCCTGCCGATGGGCTCCTGGCCTCCTGCAGTCGTGCTTCTCTTGGAACGGGGCGACGGTGGCTGCGCCTAATGGCGTGCCTGTTGGCGGTGGCCGGTGCCGGCCGGTGCACAGGCCACGGGGACCTCTGCTGGATACAGCTCGTATATCGGACGACGTGTATCGTGCCGTGCTGCACGTTCTCCCGTCACGATGACGTAAGTTGTAAACCTCGCCGCGTGGAGCCCCGGCCGTCCCGCGCCCTCGCCGACCCCCGCCGTGCCGGCCGCCCACGGCCCCAGCCCTCTCGCGCCGCCTCGCCGCGCGGAACCCCGGCCATCCCGCGCGCCGCCCCTCCCGGCCCGCGCCCGCCCCGGCCCCAGCCCGCTTGCGCCATCTCGTCCGTCCTGGCTCGCCGCGTCCGCCGCGCGCATAGGCGCTCCCTCCGGCGACCCGTGACACGGCCCCTGCTCCCAGCGCGGCACGACCTCGTCGTCGATCCCGTCCTCCGCGTCCCCGTCCTGCTCCAGTCCTGGCGTCCGCGTCGCATCCCCGGCCTGCTCCGCCCGGCCACGACCACGGCCCCTACTCCGACGTCCGCGAGCCTGCCCCTCCTCGCCCGCAGGGGAGAGGCTGGTGTCCTGCTGCAAGGCTGCAACAACCGCCAGAGCTCTGTTCGCCTCCAACGTCGCGTGCTCTGTTCGTTGCATTGACTTGGAGAGGTAAAATTTTTGAATATGCAATGTAGGTACTTAGTTAGCTTGAATTATAGTGCTACTTTGATTATTTGGTAGTATCTAGTAAATTTGATGATGTAGGTAGTTAATTTAGTTAGTGAGATAGATATAATTAGATAAATATAGTTAGATAGCCAGTGACATAGGTACATAGATATAGTTATTAGATAGCTAGTTGATTTAGTTAGTGAGATAAATATAGTTAGATAAATATAATTAGATAGCTAGTGACATAGTTATTTAGGTATGATTTAGCTATGTAGTTAATAGATTGTATTTATAGGCTTAGGGTGTAGTTGGTTAGTATGTTTTAGAGAGGTACTATATAGCAGCTACTTTAGAGTAAACGAACTGTATTTTAATTTTTGTTTGAACTACTAGATGAACAACCTAGTGAGCATATATCATGGAGGCACCGTGGAAAGAGATCACTATGAATATGTTGAGTTTGTTGACATGCAAAATATGCCTGTGTTATTTAATGAGAAGCCTTGATTTAGTGAGTTGGTTGCAAGGGCTCGGGAGGAGCTATATTGTCATGGAGCTGATGATGATGATGGCATCGTAGTGGAGGGTGTACTTCACCTAGGTTCCACTCCCAACATTCTAAGGAAGATGATCCCAATTGGGTGTGCAGACCAGTGAGAGAACTATGTGAGATCGGCTATGAAGTGCCAGTTCCAAAGTTTGGACATGGCTGTGCGTTGGGTGTTAGTTGATCCCATCCCTCATGGGTTTTCTCCATCAATGGGTCAGCAGGCACACTTCGACCCTCCCGTCCCAGAACCTGATATGGATGTGGAGGTTGCACCTACGGTTTCCGATGCTCAATCTGCCCCCAATGAGCTAGTTGGAGATGATTGTCAGACTCATGATGCTGTGTCAGATCCTCCTCATGAGATCCCTTTGACATAGAATCATCCGAGTAAGTGTCTTATCCGCATGGTAATTAGGAGCTTACCCCCTTCCTTACATCCATTTTTTTCATTCTTTCCTCATTTTGCTACTTATGTTGCAGGAGACATTCTTGATAATGTGGATGTGCCCCCTGTTGCTACGCAAGTGCACTGTGGAGATGGATTCCATGGCTCCAATAGTGTTGAAATTATGAATGATTCGGAGCTATATGAGATGGCAAGGGCTCTTGATTCTGATGATGATTGCCCTGTTGGAGAGCTGACAGAGAGTGATGTTGAGATGCTGAGGCGTATCTTTCCCGGACGCCGTGATCCAAGAGTTCACGAATTCAGTAATCTTGCTCATTCCAATTAGGCGTGTGCAGAAGGACATGATAATGAGCTCCTAGAAGCTCCTGAGGCCGGCCCTAACATGGTAATTGCTTAGGTCATCACCACAAATAATAAAAACAACTACATAATAAAAAGTCCAATACTATGACACATTAAACAACACAATAATATTAGAAGTACGTGGCGACAAACTAAATAACATAGTATATGACCTAAGTATGCCCATGCTTAATTTGCATTACATGACAACAAAATGAAAAGTCCAACAGTAGATAACCAGCGTGTTTGGCTGCTCAGGTTCTAGCTTGTTTTAGCTTATTCTCCCTCACAGAACACTATTGAATCATCCGAAATAATCCAAAATCCACTGTTCAACGGATCAGTCGAACGCGCTAAACATTGCTCATGAATAAACCATAGAACTAGCAAGTAATGGAGACTACTGAGTGCAACAAGACCACTTTCCCTTTCTTATGGCATCGGGATTCTCCTCTATCGCTGTTTTCGCTCGACGTGCACGCTCAAGCTTCTTCTCCCTCTTCTCCCTGTACGCAGCAACACGCCTCATTTTCTCCTCTTCCTTGTGCTTCTTTTCTGCAGCCTCCTCTCCACGTCTCTTCTCCATCATCTCCTTGTCCTCTACCTCCCACCACAACAGTTCTGCATCCATTCCTTGTCTTCAGGCTCGATCTTAGTGTCGATTCACTGCTCAAAATCACAGAGCGGTGGAGGGGTCTGCAACAAATGCAATTGTTATGAAACAAAAAAATCATGCAAGATGTCATATGACACAAAATAATTATTACACAACATCAATTTCTCATCATCTTGTTAATACGACGCTGACAAAGTGTAGGCTCAAACGTAAAATTGGAGCACATCCAATACATCTGCCTATATGTGTCCTCTTCATCGGACTTGCCTACCTTGCAAGGATCGCCGCAAAAGCACATGGGCACTAGAACACCACCAGGCAGAGGCAATGGGTCGAAGACATTTTCGGTCATCCAGCCATAACTACAATTTAGCTATTTTCGTTCTAAGAAAAAAAAACAATTAACATTAAACCCTACACCTAGGGTTTCCCATTTGATCCATAACAATGAACCCATAATATAACAACGTGCGCTAAGGTTACCTTGGTTTGCTAGCTTTTCCACGCCTTGGCATCTTACAGTTGTATAATATAAATATTAAAATTCAGTGAAATCCTAAGTAATGACAATTCTTAAGTTAAAAAATCCAACTAATATATACCGAATCAATGTGAAAAAAAACTAGGAGTGAGCAAGGATACCTTGCTCTCGAAGATCTATGCATCAAATCAAAGTTTTCAAGGTCCAATATACCGATTCATAAGGTAGGACGAAGTGAGGACAAAAAAAAACCCGAGAGAGAGGAGAAAGAAGAGAAAAAGGCTAGGGCAGCAAGGTTGGACGCCGGGTTAAAACACCACCAAGGCGCCAGGATCTTTAACGCCAAGCTCGGCGTCAAGATCTTTGGAGCCAAGCTTGGCGCCAAGATCCACGGCGCCAAGTTGGCTGCCAGGTCAGCGTCCACGCCGCCAACGTGGCCCCGACCTAGACGCCAAACCCTTTGACGCTGAGACGTGTAAACTCGATGGCACCAACGATAACGCCAAGCTAATAGTTTAGATTTTAAAAACATTCCTAAGGGTATATCTATGAATAACTTAAAAACCGGACAAAAAATAAAAAATTCGCCCGGGGCACGACGAGCTATCTGCCGTCCCACGCTCCACCACAGAAGAGAAAATGTAAGAAAAGGAAAGCATAAGAGCACACGAAAGAAACATGGCCCTCGTCATGTCACCCTCGTGGGGCCTGTAACTTGTACGGCGCACGTGGCCCTGGACGACTTGTTCAGTCCGTTCGTTTGTTGATTTCAGCCAGCCCAAACCAGCTAACCAACAGTGTTTTTCTCTCACAACAAACCAGCACCAGCCAGCTTAAACCAGCCCAGAAAACAACCAACGAACAGGCCGGTTGACCCTAGGCTGTGGCCGGCCGCTCTCTTCTTTCTTCTTTGCTGGTGCGGTGTGTGGCTGGTGCCTTTGTGGCCGTGGTGGTTTTGTTTGTGCTCGGACCGACTGAAGTGGCATGCTGGCATCTCGCTCTGCGATCGCGTCGCCATCTCCCGTCTGGCTCACCGGTTCAATCATCCGCCGCCGTGCGCGGCGCCTGCGCTCCA